TGTACTGCTATCCTTGGAGGCCCTGGGTGGTTACAAAATGTTAACACATTTGGCTGCTAGCTGAAAGGTTGGAGGTTCGAGTCCACCCAGAGGCACCTTGGAAGGACGGCCTGTCAGTCTGCTTACGAAAAATCAGCTATTGAAAACCCTATGGAGTGTAGTTCTCCTCTGACACACATGGGGTCACCATGAGTCAGAGTCAACGCAACGGCAACTTTTTCTTTTCTTCTACTGTTATTCTTGGGTAAAAGATGAACCTCAGAGAAGAAAACCAGGGCTTTGAACTGGTTCAGTCATGACAGAGTGAAACCAGGACAGACCTGAATTTTTACTATTTGAGTTATCCGGCACGATAACTGGAACAGGAAGAATTATGAGTTGAAGCCCTGGAATGGGAGACTCGGAAGAAGTGTAGTGGTGTAGTGAGCCCTTTCAGGAGCCTGATGCATGAGATTGGATTATTGGCAGGACTGTGAAGAGCAACCCATTCAACGAGGCACAATCAGCTGCCATCTTTGAGTGGGGCACCACTGTTGCCGACTGCTCAAGATCTGATAGGCAAGAGATTTGGTTGCTATGCAACGTGTATGCTGCCCTTGTTTTCTAAAAGGGAGATTAGGTTTCTAGCAGGGCTTCGACCGGTAATTTTTCCCTTTCTGGTTATGGTTCCGGTTCACCCCAATTTTAAAAATTGGGGTCTGTTCTGGTTTCACTTCGTTGGCCATGACTGAACCAGGAAGAACCAGTTTGAAGCCCTGGAGAAAACAGACTCCTTTTAGTCCATCATATTGCCCACGTATTTTGCTTCCAGATTGATTTGCTTGCTGTGAAAGCTGTCACCTCTTGTGTCACTACTGTCCCTGGGGAGATGAAGGGTCAGAAGCACGGGGACGGCAGACAGCCGCCTGCAGAGCAGAGAGACAAGGCTGGAAGGGATGTGCATGTGGCCCCTTCCTCAGAGGGCTCTCACGGGCATTCTCTTTCTTTCCCAAACATTCATCCTCCTGTCATCTGAGTGAGGAAACAGAGGCCCAAACACGCTGTGACTTACCTAAGCCACGCACTTGGTCTTGGCAGGATGGGGCCAGGAGCCCCCTCCTAACTCCCGGGTGGTGCTCCTTCTGCAGGTGCAGATATGCTGCCTTTTTCTGTCCTTCAGTTATATGTTCATCTCACTTAGAAGAGGTGTTTTATAGAGTGTGTTACCTCATTTTTTGTGAAAGTATAAAAAGCAATCTCTGTCCAAAGGGTCTCACCCAGGGATGACAAGTACTTGGCACGTCGGTACCAACATAGCCTTTAACCCCGTGGGAGATGTGATAGTCGGTTGTTGTGCCCTTCCTGCGAGCGTCCCAGACTCCTACCACTCTCAGTCACCTGGTTGACGTCTGTTAGTCTCTAAAACATCAAGTTATGCAGTCAGGTGTCTGCTTTATAAACACATGGTCCCCAAAATACAGTCGTTCACCTTTGACTGACTCCTCCACTTTCACCTGCTTCCTAAAAACTGGGCTGCCTGCCTAACAGACCCTCGCTAAGATGGAGGGAGGCTGTAACTGCCTGAGGGACCCTGGCCCCTCCAGCCCCATAGGAGATGGGATAGGAGAGAAGGCAGGTGTCTTAGTTATCCCGTGCTGCTATAACAGAAATACCACGCGTGAGTAGCTTTAATGAACAGACATTTATTTTCTCACGTTTGGGAAGCTAGAAGCCTGAATTCAGGGCACCAGCTCTAGGGGAAGGCTCTCTGTTGGCTCTAGGGGAAGATCTTTGCCTCTTTCAGGTTCTGTTTCGGGGAGATCTTCATGTGACATCTATCTTCCCCTTTTGTCCACAGGTATAGGGGTTAGGATTTACAACACATATTTTGGAGGGACGCAATTCAGTCCATAACGGGGTGCCTCAGACGTCGAGCACAGGGACTAGTGACATCTCTGGCGAGGGCAGGGGCAGCCTTGACTCCCCCAGTGCTGGGCTCTGACCCTCTTTGTGCCTCAGCCTCCAGGAAGTCGTTTGTGTTTGAGCTGAACGAGTGCGCCTCCAGCCGTATCCTGAAGCTGGAGAAGGAGAACCAGAGCCTGCAGAGCACCATCCAGGGGCTGCGGGATGCGTCCCTGGCGCTGGAGGAGAGCAGCCTCAAGTGCGGGGAGCTGGAGAAGGAGAACCAGCAGCTCAGCAAGAAGGTAACCCTGGGGGCCCCACCCTCTGCTTATACGAGGAGGCAGGCCTCGCAGATGGGAAGGGGGCCAGGCAGAGCGCTCACTTGTTGGTGAGGACTCACCCCAGGACAAGGTGCAGAATCCCAGTGCAATCACAGCTCATTGTAACGAGGAGCCAGGGGAATCCTTGGGAAGCAGGCTTGTCCCTGCTCCACTGCCTTCAGGTGTGGCCTGGACATGTGACTTAGCCTCTGGGTGCCTGTTGTCTTCATCTATGAAATGGGGCTGATGGGGTACCCACCTAATAGGTGCTGTGCCGATTATATGAGCCAGTATACGTGAAGGGTCTGGCACATAGAAGGAGCTCAGTGAATTGTAGCTACGAAAGTATAATTGAGAGAGCAGTGAGCATGAGATGGGGGAGAGGAAGCAATCGTATGAGGTGCTGAGTACCAGATGTTCTGTTGTCGCCACTGACTACAATGGTACGTATGTCTGCGGTCTGTGATTTATGCACACCTCCGTGCGTGTGTGTGCGTGCATGTGCATGCATGCGTGTGTGCATGCACGTGTGTAGAATCACTGATGGACCGGTTTAAGGCATCGCTGGGGGTAAAACGAGAAGGCCCATGCTCACTCCCCTCTCTTGGTTTTTGGAATGGGAAGAAGAGGTGGCCGAGCTGTATTTGCATTCAAGGACAGCTGCTGGGTCTTCCTCGTTGCATAGTAGAACCTGGACATCAGGAGAACAGACCAAGACTCACGAGGTCACATGGCTAGAGTGCAGTCTCAGATGTGGGGAGGGGCCATTTAGAGGCTAGGGGCTGCCTGCACATCTTGGTCATCCTCAGCCGGAGGACATCTAGTCCATCTACTCTGGGGTGGTGGCACTGTGGGATCTAACCACCCCACCGCCAGGTTGGGGCCAAGGGAGAAGGCAGGAGCACTCCTGGGCCTCCGGGAGCCTGGCTGGTCTTGTCTCGCCTTAGGTAATGCCAGTGTCATTTAAGGCTGCACCGGCCGTAGGACGGGGGCCACAGGCTTGGCTCTAGGCTCTGCTGTGGTCCACCTCTGCCAGAGGCTAGGACACGCTCCCTCCTCTTGTGAAGTGGTCTCTCGTCCCCCTGAGTGGGACCCAGGCTTGGCGACTTGCCCTTCTGCCCTGTGGAAGCAGTGTGTGCCACATGGTGTGCAGCGCTTTCTTCTCTCTCTGAAAGACAATAGAAAGCCCCCCAGCTCGTGCTGCGGCTGATGGTGCAGCCTGGGGCAGGCAACTGACTTTTTTGTTAGTGTAGACCTATGTGGGCCTAGCACAGGAAGTGTCTTGGCTGACCTTGGCTGTGATAAGAAAGAATTGACCTTTAGAAAGACGAGAACCTCCACCTCTGTGGGGCCTCACGACTCTGCTGCAGACAGCCTGCAACGTAATCTGCCTGGCCTTGTGACTTTGTGGGTTTCCACCCAGCAGCCTTTGAGGTGGCTGCTTGTGCTTTTCAGTGCCCCCCTGCCTACTACGCTCCCTCCTCTAGACACAGATGTCTGCAGTGGGTGCCGCTGACATGGTGTTCCTTCTTGGTTTGCCCGGTCTCCGCTCCCCACCTTCAGCTCCCCTCTCCGATCTGCCTCTGGGCTGACACCAGCCATCTCCTGTTCTAGCCCTCGGGGGCAGCATCCTGCACAGAGTCCCTGTGCTGTGAGGTGGCAGGGAGTCACTGTGGTTCCCAGTACCTGGTCCCAGGGAGGCCCTGTGCCCACCAGGGCCTTCCCTTCCCTGCTGCACTCATCCTCAGCCCCGGTGTGGCCGGAGTCTGTCCTGACCCAGCAGAGGTAGTCTTGCTTCCTCCCTCAGTACCTGCAGGTGGGGACCACATACCACTAGCTGTTTTAGTGGCCCCAGCACCTCACCCCAAGCCTGGCACAGGGCAGTGCCCCCGACGTTTGGTGGGTGTTCACTCCATCACCAGCAGTAGGGGCCACGCTTGGGCCCCTATTGGCCCTGACCCAGTGGCTCCCCGGTGTTCCTTTCTCTGACTCAGCCATCCCACGCTCCTACTTGGGGTGTATCATGAGAAGGCGGAGCTGCTCTGTTGGAAGACGTGTGCGCCAGGATGAGAGGCAGGTCTCTGGAAACCCAGAGGGGCCCCACATGAGCCTGAGGCCCGGGCCAGGGGTCTGGGGAGGCTGGAGAGCCCTCTCGGGCCCTGAGCTGCAGGCCATGACGCAAAGGTGGCATCCAGAAGGTCTTGAGCCAGCTCCCATTTCAGCACAGTGAGCTCGGGGGGCCCTGAGGCCCAGCGGAGCTCCGGCTCCATGTCAAAGAGCTAGGAGAAGAGAGAGATGGGGGGTGGTGCAGCAATGATGGGGGATGCGGGGAGTCACATCCTCAGATCAGTAGCACCAGCAGTAAAGAATGTGAAGGCTAGAATGATTTTCCTTTCTGGGAGAGAAGGGGCGGCGAGGGTAAAGTGATACAGTGAGGTCAGGTGAGCTGTGGGCTGAGAGGAGACCCCTGGGCTGGCGAGGCGGTCACAGCAGCGCAGCTCTGGGGGCCAGGGGGACAGCGGGCATGCAGCCAGGTGCACATCCAGGTCTGCCCCTCCTCACTGTGAGGCTGGGGAAGATGAACAACAGTTAATAATAGTAATAATAGCTACTTGTTGCATTTAATCTTCATAGCCACTCTGAGGTGTGGGCACTGTCCTCAAAGGAGAAGCCTGGTTTCCTGCTAAGTGCCAGGCTTTGTGCAGGCACTGGGCCGAGATAAGGAAGGCTAAGAAAGCTGTTCTTACTGTACAAGGACCTGGACAGGGCACGGGCTGGTGCATTCCTGCGCTCTGATGTGGGAGAGTGCTGACCTCTTGGCCTGGCTGGCGGAGCCCACCAGGGTTGTGGGGGTCTGTGATGTCTTGGCATCGTGATCTGAGAATCGGCAGAGCACAGCCCTGCAGGCCCCTCTCCCCACCTGGTAGACTCTGGTGTCCACGCGCTCGGCAGGAAGAGCTTGTCCAGCTGCTTCCTCTGTGGAGGGTCGAGGTAGCTCGCAGACCTGTGGGGCCAGGGGGCAGGGCGGCCCTCACCTGGGTATGGGTGGGGTATACGCAGACCCTGCTTTCTGACAGGCAGTGGTCCTTCTTGGTAACCCCCTTTACAATCATCTGAGGGGCTCTTCAACCCCAGACCAGTTGCCTGAGAGCTAGGTTCTCAGGCTGCTGACGCGGCTCCCGTAGGGAGCGTTCAGCACCTGCTGGCCCCGGCACCCAACCCTAGATATTCTGATTTACTTGGTGGCCTGAGATGTGGGGTTTTCCAAATCTTCCCGGATGACTGGCTCCACTTGGGAACCGCTGTTTTAGAGCAGTGGTCCCCGGCCAGCATGACTTAAGACCAAGGTAAAATGGAGAGTCGCCGGCCCCACCCCAGACCTACAAAGAAACTAGGGGTGGTGCCCAGCCATTTCTTGGAGGGAGGCATCAGCTAACGTTGATTGTACCTGCCGCGTGCTAGGAGTCTTGCTAAGCACTTTGCACCAACCAGGGCTCCACAAGATGGACGTGTCAGTTACAAAAATGTGGTCATGGTCACCTAGTTGGTAGGGAAACCCCTTTTCCAAGGCCTTCCTCCCGACTCTGTCCCTGTGCTGAGGAGCTGGGTGTCGGCAGGCAGGGGCAGCATAGCCTGTAAGCAGGTAGGAGTTGTGACTGAGTTTCGCAGTGCACGCCAGCAGCGTGGGCCTCACCGGGGCTGGTGAGCGATGCTGAGTCTCAGGCCCCACCCCAGACCTGCCGAGTCGTAATCTGTTTTCTCACCCAGCGCCCGGGTGCTCAGGTGCACTATCAGTGTGAGGAGCCCTGATGGAGGCATTTTATGTTTGAGGAAAGGTGGGTACAGGTGGATCCCAGCATAAGAGCTTGGTGTCAGGGAGGACGGGATGGATGTTCAGGCAAGACAGAATGCAGCCTGGATGGGTGGGAGAGGGCAGGACCCATGTACTTGGAGGGGAGAAGGAGAAAGGAGAGACATACCAAGTGACAACTCTCAAGGTGGGGGGCAGGGAAGGAGAGGGCAAGAAATGAGTGCACGAGTCTCTGCGGGGCGTCCAGCGGTGGTGGCTGGTGGGCCCAGGGCTTGTGGTTCTGACCCACGGGGAGATGGAGGCAGGAGGTAGGCACAGGAGACCCGGGGCTGGCTGAGCACATGGCTCAGGGGCCAAGCCAGCAGCAAGCTGGGCCGGGAGTCTGCAGGCCCATGCAGAGGAGGAAGTGCTGGGTCCTTGGCTAACAGTCCATGGTCGGGGGCGTGGGGAGGTGGCTACAGAACAAAGCCAGGACGTTTTTTCCTGGAGAAAAGGCCTGTTAAAGTATTCTGTGGGGCTGAGAAGTTTATGTTTTATTTTAAAACATAGTGCCCTTCCTGAGACTGACGTTTGCACTGGGCTGGGTCTCTTGGCTCTGCAGATTGAAAAGTTACAGACCCAGCTGGAGAGAGAGAAGCAGAGCAACCAAGATCTGGAGATCCTGAGCGAGGAGCTCATCAAAGAGAAGGAGCAGCTGCAGGGCAACATGGAGGTGCTGAAGGCGGGCAGAGCCAGGCAGGTGGGCACCTCCAGAAGGAGCACCTGACCCACCTCTCCGACCACCTGGCCTGCAAGAGGGATAGTGAAGGGTTATAGCCCTTGCCTAGTGATTAATGAGGAGATGTGGGTTGCCAGCTGGCTGGCCTAGCTAGAGCTTAAATCAGGGTTCTCACCTAGCACTGTTTCCAGGATTCCCCCCCAGGGGACATTTGGCAGTGTCTGGAGGCATTTTTGATTGTCAATGACTGGGAGTAGGGTGAGGATGCTACTGGTATCTAGTGGGTAAATGCCGAGGATGCTGAAGAACATCCTGCAATGCACAAGACAGTCCCCATAACAAGGAATTGTCCACGTATCCATAGTGGGCATTGTCTAGATGTGCACAGTGTGGCGGCTGCAAGCCCTGGTAAACCCACAGGGCTTTATTTGCCTCTCGCTGTAAGAAGTCCCAGGGAGGCAGCCAGCGCAGATGCGGGGGCCCCTTGATGCCATCCAGGACCCAGGCTTCTCTCTCCTGCTCCACCAGCCTTCTCGGTGGCTACTGCATGCCCCTGCAATATGGGCAGGAAGAAGGTGGAGGGCAAGGGTCAAAGGGAGCCCCCCCCAGGACTTCCTGTGGACAGCTTGTTAGCCAGAACTGACACTGAGGATCCCCAGCTGCCAGGGAGGATGGGGGATCGAGTACATTAGTTTTTCAGCTTCTGTAGTAGGTCCCTGGGTAGTGCAAATGGTTTGCACTCAGCTGCTAACTGAAAGGTTGGTGGTTTGAACCCACGTAGTGGTGCCACAGAAGAAAGGCCTAGTGATCTGCTTCTGTAAGATTACAGCCAAGAAAACTCTGTGGAGCTCATTTCTACTCTGTAACACACGGGGTCACCATGAGTCAGAATAGACTTGAGGGCAACACGTTTAGTTTTTTCAGTAGAGCCTCCTCCCCCAAAGAAGGAAATGGGGTTTTCATGTGTGGTGAAAAGGCTGACAGGATCCCTGCCCGGATGTAGCTCATAGTCTAGAAGGCAGCTAACAGGTAAGCAGCAAGCTGATTGCAGGTGTGTAAAGATGCTGAGATAGAGACTTAGGTGGGTGCAGGCCCTTCCGCAGGGCTCCTCGGAGGAGGCGACACTTACACTAAGTCTTAAGAGCCAGAAGGAGCCATTGATGCACTAGGCCCAGGGAACAGTATTCAGGGTGGAGGGAACAGCATGTGCAAAGTGTCTTGAAGCAGGAAAGGGCTGGGGAGCAACAGGAGAGAAGGCTGCAGGGGTGGGCAGGAGCCAGGCCACGGGGGCTTGCTGGCCAAGATAAGGTCCTAAGGGAAATCGCTGCAAGTTTTAAGTGAGGGAGAGAGATGTGGCTTCCGTGGGTAACTCATCCTGGTTGCTACCAATACATTTTGACTTGAATCGTCTGAGTAGTTTGCTCCAGGCGCTCCCAGCTGTGTCTGTGTCAGGCCTCGGGGAACGTGGTAGGACGGCTCTTGGGTACATGGTAGGTGGTTTTTCCAGGCCCCCAGTTTGCACCAACACCACTGAAATGTGTGCATGCAATAAAAAGCCTGTGTTCTTCCTGTTGTGTTTTCCTGTAGATCAAGGACCTCGAGCAAGAAAGGGATCATCTCAACCAAGTGGTGTGGTCGCTGCGGGAGAGGTCGCAGGTTAGCAGCGAGGCCCGCATGAAGGACGTTGAAAAGGAGAACAAAGTCCTCCACCAGACGGTGACAGAGACCAGCAGCAAGCTTAACCAGCTGGAATTTGAGAAGCAGCAGCTGCACAAGGACTTGGAGCAGGCGAAGGAGAAGGTGGAGCGAGCAGAGGAGCTGGAGAAGGAGCTGCACCGGCTGGAGAAGGAGAACGAGAGGCTGGCCAAGAAGGCGGCCTCCCTGAAGACGGTCTCTGAGAAGGCAGACGCCCTGGAGCACGAGAGCCGGGGCCTGGAGCTGGAGAACCGGAAGCTGAGGAAGTCTCTGGACACCCTGCAGAACGTGTCGGTGCAGCTCGAGGGTCTGGAGCTTGACAACAAGCAGCTGGACGAGGAGAACCTGGAGCTGCGCAAGATGGTGGAGACCCTGCGCTTCACCAGCGCTAAGGTGGCACAGATGGAGAGAGAGAACCAGGAGCTGCAGCGGGAGAAGGAAGAGCTGAGGAAGAATGTGGAGCTGCTGAAGGCCCTGGGCAAGAAGTCGGAGCGCCTAGAGCTCAGCTACGAGGGCGTGAGTGCTGAGAACCTGCGGCTGCAGCAGACCCTGGAGAGCAGCATGCAGAAGTCGCAAGCCCTGGAGAGGGAACTCCAGGAGCTGGAGATGGAGAACCAGGCCCTGCAGCGAGACCTGGAGGCTCTGCGGCTCTCCAACAAGCAGCTGGAGAGGTTTGAACAGGACAAGAAGGCTCTGGAGCAGGAGGTGGCCCAGCTCGAGAAGGACAAGAAATTGCTGGAGAAGGAGGCTAAGCGACTGTGGCAGCAGGTGGAACTGAAGGATGCCGTCCTGGATGACAGCACTGCGAAGCTGTCCGCGGCTGAGAGGGAGAGCCGCGCGCTGGACAAAGAGCTGGCCCGCTGTCGGGATGCAGCCAGCAAGCTGAAGGAGTTGGAGAAGGACAACAGGGACCTCACCAAGCAGGTCACCATGCACACGAGGACACTGACGACCCTGAGAGAGGTGAGCTGGGTGCAGGGCCCCTCCAGCTAGGGGTGGTGGGATCGGCGTGTCTGCAGAGAGTATGGCAGGTGGTTCCAAAATACAGTGGAACTGTGTTCTACTTAAATTTTTGTTTACTGGCTGTAAACAGAATAATACAAAGGTATGAAGAACCAAATAAATATCCCCTATCATAATGTTAGTACCCAGAGATAGTTCAGAGGTATAATTCTCGCCTTTCATGCAGGAGACCCGGGTTCGATTCCTGGCCAGTGCACTTCATGCGCAGCCAGCACCCCTCTGTTGGTGGAGGCTTGCATGTTGCTGTGCTGCTAAACAGGTTTCAGTGGGGCTTCCAGAGTTAAATAGACTAGAAAGAAAGACCTGGCGGTTTACTTCCAAAAAAATCAGCCAGTGAAAACCCTATGGATCACAAAGGTCCGATCCACAACTGATCACGGGGGTGGCACAGGACCCGGCAGTATTTCATTCTGTTGTGCACGGGGTCACCATGAGTCAGGGGCCAACTCGGCAGCTAACAGCAACTAATAACACCCTGCGATCATCCGTATTAATAGTTCGGTTTATTTCATTTCATTGCTTTCCCTGGGCTTAGCATATACACGTACTGCATCTCAGACTACTCATTTAAACCCTTCTCCTCGCTTATTGACTACCTTGTTATCCAACATTTTGTGTTTACAGCGATAATAAAAAAAAAAAATCTACTGTTCGACTGTTTTGGGCATTAATGCACATCTGGCAGTAACAAAGGCTGAGGTGCAAGGCAAGAGTAACACTGACTGATGGTTAAGGTTATGTGTCAGCTTGGCTGGGCCGCGATTCTCAGTGGTTTGGCAGTTGTGTAATAATGTAGTCATCTTCTATTTGTGCATAATGCCGATTTCATATAACAACCTGATCTTTGGAACCGAACCACGTCCAAAACTGAGGAGAGGGTGTATTCTGTTTTTAACTTATTATGTCTTTTCTTATTAAATAGTTTTCAAAGCCATGATTTCTAATGGTTGCAAGATATTTAATCCAATTCACTTTATATTCACTTTAATTCAATTTTGAATGTTTAGATTGTTTCCTTTTTTTTTTTTTTTGATGTTTTAAATAATACTGAACATCCTTGTACACATAACACCTTTACGAATATATGTGAAGATCTTCTTAGGATGTATTCCTAGAGTGGGAATTACAGGGTCAAAGAGTATGAACATTTTAAACCTCTTGATAGAGACAAAATTCTCCAGAAATATATGTCCTGCTTTCCCTGGTATTTTGTGTATGGGTCATCTGGACATTCATTCAGTGTCCTCGGGTGAACAACTGCTACAGTATCAGCTTCAGCACCTGAGTGGCTTACCATGGTACAGTTGTCTTGCTCGTGTAGGGGTTTAGTGTGGGTGTTCACAGGTGGCCTTAAGTGTAGGATTCAGGCATCCAGGCTTCTTCAGTCTTTGGCTCAGCCATCTCACAGTGGAGCCCTCATCTGGATCATCTGCACCAGGCAGGTAGTTGAGGAAAGAGCACGTGAGAACGTGTCTTAGGCTGGGTTCTCTAGAGAAGCAAAACCAGTAAAGCATATATATATAGAGAGAGAGAGATTTATATCAAGGAAGCAGCTCACGCAGTTGTAGAGGCTAGAACATCCCAAGTCTGTGGATCAGGGTAGAGGCCTTTCCCAATTCACACAGCTGTAGAAGCTGGTGAGCCCGAGATTGGCAGGTCAGAGAGCAGGGTTCTCGCTCACAGGCTGTGAAGGTCGATGAATTACAAGATCGGCATGCAAGACTGCAAGGTTTCTCCTGATTCACATAGCTGCAGGGGCTGGCAAACCCAGGTTCGGCAGATAAGCTGACAGCTCAAGTCCCAAGAACCAGAGGTGAGACTACAGGAGGCAGCCGCAGGATCCAGAGTGAGCAGAAAGCCAGAACGTCTGCTTATATTCAGATGTAAGCCACTCCTCCAAGGAAACTCCCTTTCATATGATTGGCTACTCACAGTAGATTCAGTCATGGGAGTGATCACATATAGACACTGAGAGTCATGGCTCAGCCAAGTTGACAAACAGTCTTAATCATCACAGAAGGGTAGCATTTCCACGGGCCAGAACTGAGCCACACGCCACTGCTAGCTAACAAGGGGGGATGGGAAATGTGTTCCAGCTATCTACCGAGGAAGAAAAGGAAGTAGATTTTGGTGAACGCAGAGAGTGGTCTCCACGTTCAAAAAAGACTAATGACTGTCAGTGCAGGCAAATCACTATGCCGTGGGGAGAGAGACAGAATCCGAACGCCACCCACATAGTCCCTGTCTTTGTTAGCATAGGTTAGGTTATGCCACAGTAACTAACAACCCCAGCATCTGAGTGGCTTACCACAGCAGAGGGTAACTTCTCACTCATGAGAGTCCAGGGAGCTCTCCAAGGAGTCTGTCTTCTGGGCTGTGACGCAGCAATCTGAGCTGCTTGGATCTTAGCACTCCATCATTTCAGCACAGACCTGTGTGGGTGCTGTGGCAAGGGGAAAGGCAGCTCCAAGGTCTCACACTGCCTTTTCTGTGCTCCAGCCAGGAAGTGACCCATGACACTTCCACCACAGCCCATTGGCCAGAACTGGTTACATGTCTTCTCGGGGAGGCTTGGAAATTTTGTGGGAACAGAGAAAATTTGGTGAGCCGCATTATCTCTGTTGTATATATATACACATGTATGTGTTGTTTTTGTTTAGGTATTGTCAAATCGATTTTTGGCTCATAGTAATCCCATGTGACAGAACTGCCTCATAGGGTTTTCTAGGCTGTAACCTTTATGGGAGCAGATCACCAGGTCTTTTTCCCACGGAGCCGCTGGGAAGGTTTGAGTCACCATTGTTTTAGTCAGCAGCCGAGCGCTTAACCACTGTGTCACCAGGGCTCCTTGTATGCTATATATTAAGCATGTAAATATGTACATATATTTATAAATCAGTTATTTTTTAGGGGAGACAAGTGTGCATGTGAAGAGCTGTGACACCAGGCAGAAAGCACCTGCCTGGCAAGTTAGAAAGGAGTGGCAGAAGTGGGTCAGAGTCAGTGACCCACCTAATTGAAAAGTAAACCAAAACCAGGGTTTAAAATAAAATCTTTCTGTTCTTTTTACTTTTTTGGTCTATTCCAAATTCTCTGTCATGACCATTTAATTACTTGCTATTCCCTAAAAGAAGCCATCATTTTATCAGAAAACAAAACCGCCACTCAGAAGTCAACAGCAATGGTTTTTCTAATCTGCATTAGAGAAGGCACCCATCGAGCCTCCTGTGACCCATCGGCACCTGGTCTGGTCCTTTTCAGTGCCAGGTGGGCGGGAAAGTGTGCTCAGTCCCTTCCCTTTGGGGTCACTTTCTGGTATATTCAGGCTGGCCGGTCTGAGCAGCTGCTGGCCCAGATCCTCAACCCGTGTGGCAGCAATGATGTGAAAGGATGGTTGCTCAGACTGGAGATGGCCTGTATCCCCTGCTGTGTTTCTCCCAGGCCCGCGTCCCAAGCTCACAGTCTCGTTGTCATTGCAGGACCTGGTGCTGGAGAAGCTGAAGAGCCAGCAGCTGACCAGTGAGCTGGACAAGCTGAGCCAGGAACTGGAGAAGGCCGGCCTCAGCAAAGAGCTACTGCTGCAGGACGATGGCCCCAACCATGACACGTGAGGACCTCTCCTCCGTGGGCAGCACCGTGAAGCCCACCCCCACCCTCGGGTTGTCTGCGGTCTTCTGTAGCTACTCTTCATAACTGAGGGCGTTAATGTCACGTGGCTGCGTGAGCCAGTGTCATTTCTAGTCCCCATCTTGTACCTTGAGGTCCCCAGGGATGGGGGAAAGTAGATTCCTTTGTCCGGTAGAAAGGCTTCTTAATTTTTTCTCTGATTTGATTATGGTAGCTTTTCCCTGCACTGCTTTTTCTAAAATGATTTCATTTTTCAAGGAAATCTAGTATCTTAGGCTTTTTTTGGACTTGTAACTTACAAGATCCATATGTAATGGTGATAACGTGATGCCTTTGGGGTGTGGTGAAAAGGCTAGCGACTTTACCAGTTGCCTACCACCATGACCTTGGACAAATTGCTTAGCTTTTCCGAGATTGTTTCCTCATCTGTATAATGGCCATAATAATACCTCCGTAAGATGATGACTGTACCACTGCAGCAGGGGTGTTGCATTTGAAGGTGTCGCAGGTGTGTCTGATCAGGGAGCCAGGAGGAAGGGCTCTGCACACGGTTTTTGGCCCCTGCAGCTCTTCTGGGCCAGAAGCTACAGGATGGGGAAAGAAGCCAGCTTAATGGCAGGAGGGATGTTTTGACAGTTGGGAGACTGGGAGCTGGTGAGTGGTGGATGAGAGATACTATTGTATCCTTGTATTTGTCAGAAAATACAAGATTTTGGAGGGGAGAAATGAATCAGCATTAAAAACAACACTAGCCATGAAAGAAGAAAAGATTGTGTTCTTAGAAGCGCAGATGGAAGAAAAAGTGAGCCTCAATCACCAGCTACAGAACGAGCTCCAGATGGTAAGAGCTAACTGCTGTCATGACTGAGCACTGGGCTCATCTCTGGAGCACAGGGCAGGCGGTAGGGTCTCTGTTTCCCACCCCTCACTTGGGTGACACAGGCGAGGCCTGATTACCCATCCCCTGGAGCAGGGTTGGATGAGCCACAGGGTCAGTGAGGGTGCTACCATCCGATCATATGCACCGGGCGGTGTGGGGGACACTGGTGAGCGCCCACAGGAGTGGTGAGCTTTGGGCCCTGCACAGAGGCCTGCAGAGTTCCCAGGCTCCATCGATGGGACAGATGGTGCACAGGGGCTGGGGGAGGACGTGCAGGTGTCTCCCCGAGGTGCACGTGTGTGCACGTGTGCTCTTCCAGCCCTCCTTCTGAATACTTGGCATGTTTCTTGGCTGCATGGTTGACTAAGGAGCCTAGAGCAAAGCAGTTGTAGAGCTGGAAAAGGCTTTAAGATCACCTGGTCCATACAGCTCAGCCTCACCTCCATTTTATGGAACGGACACCTGAGGCTCAAGGAGGCAAGACTTTCCCACAGTCACATGGCTAAAGTAGGGGCTGAGGCAGGAGTGGGTCCCAGGCTCCTGACTCCCAGGCCACTGCCCTTTCTGTCATCTCTACAAAGGAAAGGGGAGACACATGGGAACAGAGGTTTGATGCACTTTCTGCAAAAAAGCCAAAGGCGGTGTCTGCACCAGTGCTGGGTGACTCAGGTGTGCCGAGTGCATGGGCTTGGTATGGGGTCATCCACTAGCCACCTACACTTGGTTTGGAGCCTGGCAGTTTCCTGTTTCAAGCCTGCCTTCTGGTTCCTGTACCTTGCAGGTGAAGAAGGAGTGTGAGCTGCTCAGGCAGAACCAGGACGAGGACAAGCACTTGCACAACTCCTTCAAACACCCCGTGGGGAAGCTGGCCGCCAGTCACCAGGGCCAGGAGACCTGGGGGCCCAGCCACAAGGAAGCCACAATGGAGCTGCTGCGAGTGAAGGACCGGGCCATTGAGCTGGAGCGGAATGTGAGTGGGCCGCCCATGCCTCAGTGGCCCAGAGAGGCCGTCCTGTTAATAGTCCCATTGGCTGATGTCCTTATTATACAGACTCAGGATGGCAGAGTCTGTTGAGATTCATCCAGGACTTGCCAGGAAAACTCGAAAAGTGGGGCCGGGGCCGGGGCCGGGGCCGGAAAATGATGCCTTCGGGGTTTCTAACATAAGGGCATCATTTTCCCACGGGGAGAATCGCTGTCTGCTGGCCCATGGGACCTGGCCTGTAGCTTTCACCCCAGCTCTCTTTCTGCATTGCTGGGGTTTCAGTGCTCTGCCCCAGGACTGGCAAACTGCGGACCTGCACCTGTTTTTGCAAATGATATTTTATAGGAACACAGCTATGCCCTCTTATTTACGTATTGTCATGTGGCTGCTCTACCACTATGGTGACACAGTTAAGTTGTTGGGACAGACGCGATATTTTGGCTCACAAGCCCCAAAATATTTACTTTCCAGCCCTTTACAGAAAAGGTTTACCGATCCGTGTTCTAGGCCCCTGATTTTATTTGATCCTCACAACACTTTTATGAAGGAGACAGGGATTATTTCCATTTGACAGATGAGAAAACCGAGACTTGACTTAAAAGTCCCATGGGGAGTAAGGGACAGCACGAAAGCACAGCCTGAGTGCCCTGGCCCAGTCAGGGCACGTTTTACCTGGTCTTTGTTAGTCTCTTATAACATGGCAGGCCTGGTTCTACCTGCCGCCCCTCGTGAGTAGGTGGGGCTGTAGCCTTAGGCCCTGTCTCTTTCCTATGATGGGCCCACGTTCCTAGGCAAGGGAGGGGGAGCCAACTCACAGAAATGCACTGTCTCTGGGTGCTCACCAGGAAAGAAAGAAAAGTATTAAAGAGAAAATGATGCAGTGGCTTTAACTCAGCTTGCCCCTGCATCCCACTTGTATACCCTCAGGTCTGATGGGTTCTCCTTTCTATCTTGAAGGCCCATATCTGTCTATCTTACCTCTCTCTGTGTGTGTATATATATATATTTAATACTATTTTATTGTTTTTTCTGTGAAGGTTTATATGCAGTTTCAAGTTCCCATTCAATAATTTCAGCACAAGTTATTCAGTGACATTGGTTACATTCTTCACAGTGCATGAACATTCTCATTATTTCTGTTCTAGTGGTTACGTTTTCCGTTAATCTAGTTTCCTTGCCTCCTTATATATTCTCATCTTTGTTTTAAAGTAACTGGAGCCCGTTGGGCCTCATATAGATGATTTTTTGAAGGAGCACAGAACTTACAGGTGATATTCATTATTTTGTGAGCTAATTTATTATTTAACTACAACGTGACCTCAAGGATTAGTTTCAGTTCAAGGTTTGAAGAGTATCTCAGGGCAGTCGTCTCTGGGAGTCCTCCAGTCTTAACCAGTCCAGTAGGTCTTTTTTTTTAGAAGGAATTTCTGGTCTAATTTTTTCTCCCGTTCTATCAGGGTCCATCTATTGTGACATATATGTATTTTAATCTGTTGATTGCCCTTTTCAAACAGGGAAAAATTGTACTTCCCTTACCTGATTGTCCCTGGCTTTGGCCTCTACAGCATTGCGGCTGAGGGTTAGTCACAGGTGGATTGCCTGTAGCCAGGTAGCATTTACCCCACCAGTGTTTGATATGCCTCTTGCTCCCCATCCCCTAGAACGCGGCACTGCAGGCAGAGAAGCAGCTGCTCAAAGAACAGGTGCAGCACTTGGAGTCCCAGAACGTGGCCTTCAGCAGTCAGATCCTGACGCTGCAGAAGCAGAGCGCCTTCCTGCAGGAGCACAACACCGCGCTGCAGACCCAGACAGCCAAGCTGCAGGTGAGGGCACGGCTGCCAGTGAGGGTGGGGCTGCCGGTGAGGGCGGGACCCTGGACGTGGTCAGCCTCTCCTAGAGACCAGCCTTTGACATGGAGACTCCTAAGAAGGAGCAAGAGAAAGCATGGGAGAGTTTCAAAACGTTATTGAAATTCAAAACAAAAATAGGCTTCTTGAAAGCAGTGGTTTCTAGCCTCAGGATCTTTGAAGGTGGTGATGGTTTCTAAATCATTTTCAGTGACTGAATGACATTTTCCTTGCAGTCTTCTCCATGTTCTTTGGGGATCAAATAAGTCTGGTTAAACAGGGCTAACCGGGTTTCCTTGCTGTAGAACCTGGCAGAGCCTTTTTTAAACAGATGTGAATTCTCAATCTCCAAGAGGGAAATAGGGTGTGAGGTGGCTCCCAGACTGTTCAGAGCATGTAGCAGAGCTAGTGTTCTGTGCCACGCTTCAGGATGCTGGTTTTTACTTACGGTTAATAGAGTTTTTGAAATAAATCATTTTTTAATGCAGTTCCTCGGTGCGGGGGAGGGACTGTTGGCCACCGAGTCAATTCTGACTCAGTGACCCTATAGGACAGAGTAGAACTGGCCCCATAGGGTTTCCAGCTGGTCGATTCAGACTGCTGACCTTTTGGTTAGCAGCCAAACACTTAACCACCATGCCACAAGGGACCCTCCTCTGAAAAGTGTTTGAAAATATCCAACAATGGGATGGAGACAATATGCAGGAAACTATTTGGCAGAGAGGTTGGAATTTCTTTTATTAAAACAAGGAAATAGACTTTTCTTGATTCCATAGGATTTCCTACATAGATGATTATGTTGTCTGTGAATAAAAACAGTTTTTCTTTTTTCTTTTTCATCTGGGTGCCTTCTCTTTCTCTTTCTCACCTTACTGCACTGGCTAGAGGAGCCCTGCTGGCATAGTGGTTAAGAGCTTGGCTGCTAACCAAAAGGTCAGCAATTCGAATCCACCAGCCGCTCCTTGGAGACCGTATAGGGCAGTTTACTCTGTCCTATAGAGTTGCTGTGAGTTGGAATCGACTCAAGGACAATGGGTTTGATTTTTTGCGGGGGGGGGGGCCTCCAGTACAATGTTGAATATAAGTGGTAGAAGCGGACATTCTCACCTTGTCCCTGATCTCAAGAGGAAAACATTCAGTGTTTCACCATTAAATATAATGTTTGCTGTAGGTTTTTCATAGATGCCCTTTATCAAGTCGAGCAAGTTGCTATCTGTTTGTAGTTTGTTGAGAGTTTTAATCAGGAACGGATATTGGATTTTGTCCAGTGCTTTTTCTGCATCTTTTTTTAGTTTGTTGGTATGCTGAGTTACATTGATACTTAATATGTTAAACCAACCTTGTGTTTTCCAGGGATAAATTTCACTTGGTCATGTTATATTATTCTTTTTATGTATTGTTGGATTCGATTTGATAAAATTTTGTTAAGAAAAAGCAATTTTTTTTTTTTAATTTGTGTTGATGGAGGGGCCCTGGTGGCACAGTGGTTAAAGCGTTCGGCTGCCAACTGAAAGGTCAGTGGTTCGAACCCAGCAGCCACTCCGAGGGAGAAAGATGTGGCAGTCTCCTTCTGTAAAGATTTACAGCCTTGGAAACCCCATGGAGCAGTTCTACTCCGTCCTGTAGGTTTGCTCTGAGTCAGAATCGACTCAACGGCCGTGGGTTTGGTTGATGGAGGACATTGGTTTGTAGTTTTTTTTCTTGGAGTGCGTTTGTCTAGTTTTGATATCAGAGTAATTCTGGGCTCATAGAATGCGTTGGGAAGTATTCCCTCCTCAGTTTTCTGAAGAGTATGTGTAGAACGGGCATTATCCTTTTTTAAATATTTGATAGATTGCACAAGTGAAGCCATCTGGGCCTGGTGTTTCTTATGAGAAGATTTTTAACTACAAATTCAACTTCTTTAATAGACATAGGGCTGTTGGGGTTTTCTGTTTCTTCGTGAGTGAGTGTGGGTAATTTGTGTCTTTCAAGTGATTTGTCCATTGTTGTTGAATTTATTGGCGAAGAGTTGTTCGTAGCATTCCGTCATCCTTTTAATATCTGTAAGATCTTCGCGATGTCACTGCTGTCGTCCCTGGTATTATTTGTGTCTTCTCTTTTTTTCATCAGTCTTGCTAGAGGTTTATTGATTTTATTGATCTTCTCAAAGAACAAGCTGTTGGTTTTGTTGATTTTTCTCTGTTTACCTATTTTTATTTCATTTATTTTAGTTCTGGTCTTCATTATTTCCTTTCTTCTGCTTCCTGCTCATTTGTTGTTCTGATTTCTTAAGTTGGAAGCTGAGGTCATTGATTTGAGAGCTCTTTTATTTTCTAATGTAGGCATTTACCAAAAAACACCAAAACCCGTGACCATCGAGTTGATTCTGAGTCATAGCAACCCTGTAGGACAGGGTAGAATTGCCCCAATGGTTTCCAAGGCTGTAATCTTTATGAAAGCAGACTGCCACATCTTTCTCCCATGGAGCGGCTGGTGGGTTCAAACCACCAACCTTTTGGTTAGCAGGCGAGCTCTTAACCGCTGTGCCACCAGGGCTCCTTATGTAGGCACTTAGGTACTATTTATCTACCTGTGAGTACCGATGTAGCAGCATCTTACAAGTTTTAATACGTTATGTTTTCATTTCATTCAGTTTAAAATACTTCCCAGGTTCCTTTTTGATTTCTTCTTTGACCTTTGGTTATTTTCTTTTTTTAAAGAAATGTCTTACTTAGTTTTCAAGTATTTGAGAATTTTTACAGATCTTTGTGTTATTGATTTCTAATTTAATTTCAGTGTGGTCAGAACACATACTATGCATAGTCTCTGAATGCTTTTAAATTTGCTGAGACTTGTTTTATGGCCCAGAATAGGGTCTATCTGGTAACTGTTCCATTTGTGCTTGGAAAGAAGTGTATTCTGCTGTTGCTGGGTGGGAGTGTTCTATATAAATGCCACTTGTTATGTTTGTTGATAGTGTTGTTCAAATTTTCCGTCTACTTGTTCTAGAAGATAGGCATTTAGAAATGGTCGAAGAAGGCACTCAAGGAAGTTATCCTGAGAAAGGGCACAGTTTGCCCAAAAAAGACCACATTTGTGGAGAGCGGCTCAGGCCTAAAGCGCCATTTGACAGCCCGTTTATGCTATTCAGTCCTCTTCCCTGAGTGATTCCTTGAGTTTTGGTAGACCTGACCTCAGCCCCTCCTGGGTTCTGCCTGCCTGGGAGCCCCTGGTTTTTGTTGTCTCATGTGCTTCCTGGCCCTGTTTGTTGTGTGGGGGAGTTTGTGAGCCTACAGGTGGGAGGCAGCCTATTGCTTCTCCCTTGCTTGTTGTTGGGTACTATCCAGTTGATTCTGACTCCTAGCGATCCCCTGTGACAGAGTAGAGCTGCCCCATATGGTTTCCTAGGCTGTTATTGTTACGGAGTAGATAGCCAGGTCTTTCTCCCTTGGAGTTGCTGGCTGGGTTTGAACCACCCACCTTTTGGTTAGCACCACTGGGGCTCATTCTCCCTTGCTGCAGGTGGAGAATTCCACTCTGAGCTCCCAGAGTGCCTCGCTCACTGCGCAGTACACACTGCTTCAGAACCAGCAGACGGCCAAGGAGACGGAGAATGAGAACCTGCAGAAGCAGCAGGAGCAGCTGGCGACGGCCTACGAGGCCCTGCTGCAGGATCACGAGCGCCTGGGTGCTCTCCACGAGCACCAGTCTGTCGAGTACGAAGCCCTCATCCGCCAGCACAGCTGCTTGAAGACACTACATCGGAACCTGGAGATGGAGCACAAGGAGCTCGGGGAGAGGTGCCTGGCTGCGTGAGGCTGGGGAGCCCGGGGCCTGGGCTGGTGGGGGCATCCGTTAGGTTCCCGCAGAGGACTTGGGGGCCAGGCTGTTGGGGGGCACCTTTTAGGCTCCCCCAGAGGACTTGGGGGGCCTGAGCTGGTGGAGGCATCCATTAGGTTCCCCCAGAGGACTTGGGGGCCAGGCTGGTGGGGGGCACCTTTTAGGCTCCCCCAGAGGACTTGGGGGGCCTGAGCTGGTGGAGTTGTCCATTAGGTTTCCCCAGAGGACTTGGGGGGACGGGCTGGTGGGGGACATCTTCTAGGCTCCCCTGGAGGACATCTTCTAGGCTCCCCCGGAGGACTCCGGAGGCTGGGCTGGGCTGGTGGGGGACATCTGTTAGGCTCCCCCAGAGGACTTGGGGGGCTGGGCCGTGGGGGTTGTCATTAGACTCCCCCAGAGGACTTGGCTCCAGGAGCACACGTCCCTCCTCCCACTTCTTCCCCTGCTTTCCATTGTACTTTCCTGAGGGAAGTAAATAAAACATGGCCCTCAGCGATTCTGAGTCCGCACAGCTGGAGGCCCTGTGGCAGGAGGGGCTCCAGGTGCCTCAGCTGTGTGGTCGCTAACGCCAGCTCTGGGAAACCCAGCATTGACGGTTTTCCTGCGGCTTCACTCCCCCTCTAGCTTTCCTCTCCAAACCAAGAATAAGGAGGAAATGCCCCTCAGCCACCAGTTTACAAGGGTGGGCCTTACTCTGCCTTCCCAGGCCTCTCCTTTCATATCACTTTTCTTCTTTTAACCTTTAAATTAGAAACTTCCAGATGTATAGAAAGTAGACAGAATGGTATAGTGAAACCCCCATGTACCCATCACCCAGCTTCCACAGTATCAATACCCTGCTGATCTCGTTTCACCTGTACCCCCACCCAGTCTCCATCCCACACTCTGTTGTTATTATTCTCTAGGTAGATTTACATACACTGAAAGGTACACATCTTACCTGCACACACTTAACAAATCGTTCAGAGTGGGAAGGTTTCTTGTAGGAGAGTTTGGACCGGCTCTGAAGGAAGATTTGGCGGGTGTTTTCCCTACATTCCTTGCACACTACAGCATACAGTAGGTGCTCAGTATTTTTTGCAGGTTGGACGATGGCTGGAGGCCCCTTTGGTCTGTCCACAGCAGTGCTACAGGTTTGGGAGTATAGGGACCTGTGGCACAGGGACAGTGGCTCTGTATTTGTGTTATTTGATGCTTAAGTCAGACAAGTCCACATGTCCGTTCCCTTAATGGGTATTTACTGAGTGCTGTCTCTTGTACTGGAGCCCTGGTGGCATAGTGGTTAAGAACTTGGCTGCTGACTGAAGGTCGGCAGCTCAAATCCACCAGCTGCTCTTTGGAAACCCTATGGGGCAGTTCTACTCTGTCTTGCTATGAATCGGAATCGACTTGACGGCAACAGGTTTGTTTTTTTGTTTTTTGTTTTTTCTTTGATTTGTCCCTCATACTAGGAGCCCTGGTGAAATGCTCGACTGCTAACCAAAAGGTTGATGGTTCTAACCCACCAGGTGCTCTGTGGGAGAAACGTGGCAGTCAGCTTCTGTAAAGATTTGCAGCCTTGGAAACCCTGTGAAGCAGTTCTGCTCTGTCCTGTAGGGTTGCTGTGAGTCGGAATTGACTCGATGACAGCAGGTTTGGTTTTTGGTTTTGGTCCCTCACCCTGGGAACTCAGGTGAGCAGTGTCCCCCACAGTCTCTGCCCTGCTGCTGAGTAGTTACTAGCAGTTCAGAGATAGGCTTTTCCACAGCATTACAACCGGGGAGTAGGAGCTAGGGAACCCTTGTGGTCAGCCCACGACCCTCATTTGTCACTTAGCCTGGACGAGAAGGGTCACTGCCCTGAAGCCAGGCAGAGCTGCCACCTCCCAGGTTTACGTTTCTCCTTGTGGAGGCATCCTCTACCCATGCTGAAGGCCACACACACAGTTGTCTTTAAACAGCTGTCTGAGCAAGTCTTGGCTCCTATCAGATGACACAAGTACAGCTGGTCTGGGGCTGGTGGGGCAGTGATGGCCGGGAGGATATGGAGGTCTGAAGACAAAGGCTGGAGACCCTGGAGCACCAGGTGGTCCATAGCAGACTGTGAGCGTGAAAAACTCTCACAGGAAGTGGGTGGAGAGTGGGGTCCCGACCAGGAAAGGTGGAAAGGCTCTGCCTCAGTCCCCTCCCACTTTTTTTTTTTTAGTTTGTTTTGTTTATTGTTGTAGTTTAAGTGAAAGTTTACAATCCAAGTTAGTCTCTCATACAAAAATTTATACATAAACATTGTTATGTGACCCTAATTGCTCTTCCTATACTGTGACAGCACACTCCTCCTTTCCACCCGATTTCCTGTGTCCATTCAACCAGCTCCTGACCCTTTCTGCCTTCCCATCTCAGCTCCAGACAGAAGCTGCCTGTTTAGTCTCGTGTATCTACTTGAGCTAAGAAGCACACTCCTCACGAGTATCATTTTATATCCCACAGTCCTGTCCAGTGTTTGTCTGAAGAGTTGGCCTCAGAAATTGTTTCAGTTCTGGGCTGACAGAGAATCTGGGGGCCATGCTTTCTGGGGTTCCTCCAGTCTCAGACCATTAGGTCTGTTTCCCCTCCCACTTCTGATGCGCCATGCAGCCCTAGGACTTGGAGGAGATCCTGGACCATCCGTGAGCACAGAGGTGACCGTGGACCAGCAGGGTGAGAGGAACAGCCTTGGGCTTGTCAAGACTCTCTCCTTTTGCTCTGCTGCCCTCCAGAGACGGCTGTGTTATAACCTACACAGACCGTGAGCAAACCAAAAACCAGTTGCCGTGGAGTCATTTCCAACTCATGGCAACCTCCTGTGTGTTAGAGAAGAACTACTGTGCTCTGTAGGGTTTTCAAAGCTGCGACCTTTGAAAGCAGATCACTAGGTCTTTCTTCTGAGGCGCCTCTGAGTGGATCAAACCTCCAACCTTTCAGTTAATAGCTGAGCACTTAACCATTTGTGTCACCAGGGACTCATAAAACCAGTTGTCGTTGAGTCAGTTCCAGCTCATGGCGACCCCATGTGTGCAGAATGGAACTGCTCCTTAGGGTTTTCAAGGCTGTGACCTTTCAGAAGCAGATCACCAGGAGTTTCTCTCGAGGTGCCTCTGCATGGCTTCAAACCACCACCTTTTTGGTTAAGCACCGCTTAACTGTTTGTGCTACCCAGGGACTACACAGACTGAGACAGGAGAAGAAAATAAGATCCCAGAGCGATGGGGACAGTGTGCGGGAGGCCAAGGGCTGTGGCTGGAGTTGACTCTTGGGTGGTGGAGCCCTGGGGAGAAATAACAGGGTCTCTGTGTATGTGTGTGTGTGTGACAGCTGGCCTCTGGCAGCTGCTTGGGGGCAGATGGGCAGGCCTCTGTCCCTCCAGAAGGCCAGATGGAGAACAAGTCTGATGCGGACTTCTGAGACAGGGACTGTACCCATCCTCGGGGAGGAAGGATTAGCTGTTACGTACAGTGGAATTCAGCTGTTTATTTTGTGGTTGCTTTTAGATCTATTTGTGCTCAGTAAACTATCTAGTAACTTATTTGTAACTCTGTAAAAGAGAAGGGCATGCATTCAGAAAGCTGCAGGAAGAAGGGGTGCTTTGATGGGGATCTAAGGGACCATGGAGACATCTTGGGTAGGAGGAGGATTCTGGGCTCTGGGGCTGGCCCGGTCTGGGGGCTACCCAGACGGCATCCCAGCAGCTACTTCTACTTCTCCACTGTCAATCTCGTCCTCTAGCCTGCACCCGAGCCCTGTCCCACTCGGTTCTGCAGGGAGAAGTCACCAGAGGAACCCCATCTTCTCAGGAGTCTCAAACGTCGTTTGGGGCGTGAGTTATCAGTGAAAGAGAAGGCCTAGGACAAACCCTGCCGTGTGTTTCTCTACCAGGCACAGCGACATGCTGAAGCACAAGGCGGAGCTGGACGAGCTGGAGAAGGTTCTGAAGACGGAGAGGGAGGCCCTGCAGCAGGAGCAGAGGACAAACGCCGTCGCTGTGGACGAGAACCAGAGGCTGCGGGAAGAGCTGGACAGGTAAGCACTAGCCCCCAAGCCACGTAGAGCAGCATCCAGTATTCTTCTAATAGAAGATTGAAGGAGCCCTGGTGGCACAATGGTTAAGCGCTCAACTGCTAACTGAAAGGTCGACCGTTCAAATCCACTCGCGGCTCCGTGGGAGAAAAGACCTGGTGATTTGCTCCTGTGAAGATTACAGCCTAGGAAACCCGATGGGGCAGTTCTGCTCTGTCACATGGGATCATTAGGAGTTGGAATCGGCTCAGTGGCACACAGCAACAATAGGACAAGATGGAATGAGCCCCCCAACAATCCTGTATTTTTAAAAACTTTGTCCTGTTAGTTAGCAGCTGGATAGGTAATAAGGTGACAGGTACCTCTAGCCGGTGGCTGGGATGCAAGGACGCAAGTGACATCCCCGGACACGCATTGTCTAAGTGCAGTGATTCTCCCCTCCCACCCATGTGTTCATGGTGATTGTGTCAGGCACAGGTTCACGCCCATTTCCTGTCAGTCACACAGCGATCTTGGGAAGGCGGTAGTATTATTATCTCTTTTTTACAGATGAAAGAGCACTGGTGGCACGGTGGTTAAAGCGCTTGGCTGCTAACTGAAAGGTCAGCAGTTTGAACACACTAGCCGCTGCTACGGAGAAAGATATGGCAGTCTGCTTCCACAAAGATTTATGGCCTCAGAAACCCTGTGGGGCAGTTCTTCTCTGTCCCGTAGGGTCGCTGTGAGTTGGAATTGACTTAACAGCAGCGGGTTTGTTTTTTTTTTTTAAATAGATGAGGATATAGGCTCATAGAAATCAAGTAACGTCGAGATTAAATTCACTGCTTCTAGTTAGTGGCAGAGTCAGGACCTGAATCCAGGTCTTGTCTCCTTCCAAAGGTGCGATCACATGAAGCTCTGCTCCCCCCGCCCCCCACACCTATGTTAATGTGCACGGGGAGTTATGAGCTGAGATGCCTCCATGGTCAGGCAGGTAGCACACAGGTGAGACAGTACTAGCGTTAGACCACAGGGAGCGAAAGGGAGCGCTTACCCCACCAAGAAGAGCAGCCCCTGTCAGCTCCAGGGACGGGTGTCAGCTAGGAGGCAGGCCTGGGCTGCAGGTCATCCTTTTTGTTTTTATTTTTTTCAAGACAAGCTGGACATCTGTGTGTTGATACGAAACTTCCAAATTTTTAAATGTTGGCAGCTGATTCATTAAAAAAGAATTAAGCAGTGCAGGCCAAACAGGACATGTCTGTGCCCAGATTGTATCTACAGGCCCCTGGTAATTTGAGCTTTGTAGTATAAATCTCCTTCCGAGAAACCCCAGTTGGATAATAGTTATTATGATGATGATAATTTAGAGGATTTGCATAACACCCCGGTGTCTCATATTTTATTTATCTCATGAGTTGAAATTAGGGGCTTGAAATAAGGGAAAAGAGCTGGACATAGACAGAATTTTAGAGCAAAAAAGTTCTAGTTCAGTGTTTTCCAAAAATTAAGAATAGAACCTTTTCCCCAAAGTAAGCAGAAATGCCAAAGCCCTAAACGCAGAGCCAATGGTAGCAGCGATGCTGTGAAGAAACAGTGCTGGAGCCTGCCTGTTCTGTCTCATCCCGCCCAATGTGGGGGCACCTGGGGTGCCTCATAGAACGCCAAAGTAACACAGTTTGAGAACCACCAGTTTAGTCCACTCCTTCGTTTTACAGATGAAGAAGTCGAGGCCCAGAAAGGTTAAGGTTTTGCCTAAGGTTACACAGCCTGCTGCCGGCAGAGCTGGGACAGAGCCCAGGTCTGTGGCTGTCACCTCTTTGGAGCTGCCCTCAGCCCTTTGCCCCGTGGCTTCCCCTGCAGAGTCAGCTTCCTGCACCACCAGCTAAAGGCGGAGTATGAGGAGCTGCACGCCCACACGAAGGAGCTGAAAACCTCACTGAACAACTCGCAGCTGGAGCTGAACCGCTGGCAGGCCCGCTTCGATGAGCTCAAGGAGCAGCACCAGAGCATGGACATCTCACTGACCAAGCTGCACACCCACTGCGAGGTGAGGCGTGGGCACGGCGGCCTCAGGTCCTCGCCAGAGTCCTGCATTCAGAGGTTGAGTGGGGAGGTAGACCAGAGGCGGAGGTGGGCCAGAGGTGTTTGAAGGGGAGACACCACTGGGGCTGGGATGTGCTAGAAAACACGTTTTCGTTTGGCTTTTACTTTTTGCAGGGTGGGGGAAGATGCCGTGGGAACGTTGAGTACTGTATTAGATCAATCCTCTTGGTGTGTCTACACTGTCTGTCCGTATTTTTAAATCTCAGTAGCTGTGCTGTTCTAGAGATGTGCCATGGCTTTGCCCCATTCCCTTGTGTGGCCGACTCTGGCTCAGGATCCTGAGGGAGGGGGTGGTAGGCCTGGAACTGATCCCAGAGTCCCCCAGCTTCTAGAGGGCAACACTGTGCCCCGTTTTTCTAGTGCAGTAGATTTGAAATTATTTTCTTAGCAGCAGAACTCTTTCCTAAGATGAAATTTTAAGCAGAATCCCAGCGCATATAAGATCGACAGATGTGGTTCTGGTAGGAAGAGAGACTAGGTCCCACCCCACCTCCAAGACAGCCCCCTGGATGCACGACATTCCTTTGGCCCTCGTGGAAGCCCTCTGGGGCATCGCAAACGAGGAGAGTGAGGCCCAGGGTGCTGAGGTGCCTTGTCTGCAGTCACCCAGCCTGATCTCCTGGCTGCCTCCTGTGGTGAGAGACTCCTGTCCCAGGACTGGGGGTGGGGATGCAGGGCTGAGGCAAGGGCATCTGCTCTGTCAGAGCTGGCGGTTCCCTGAGGAATCCGCGCCCAACAGGCTGTGCTGTCCCAGGAAGCAACTTCAGCCAGGGCTACAGGGAATGCCATGTGGACTAGCTGGCATTTGCTCTGATCTAGAGATGGGGGGGTACTTCAGGGAAAGGACTGACATGAGCAGAAATGGGAGGACAGGACTTTTTGTAGACCACCAATGATTTAGTCATGTTGGAGCTAAGGACTTGAGAGAAGGCCAGGTGAGGGGACATGGCAGGGACAGTGGGTCAGGGGTCAACGAAACGGCAGGTCCAGTGGAAGCCAGCCCCCCCCCCCCCCAACCCCCCCACATGCCTCAGGTAGAAGCTAAGCATTCATGAATGCAAAGGGAAAGAAGTGGAGGGAGGGTCTGTTCTCTGTCTTTTCCACCCCCACCTCTTTTAAGGACTCCCATTTGTCAGAGTGGATTTGTTTGTTGCCTGGCATACCGGGGTCTAATGGGGTGGAAGAACAGCTGCCCCATCATCACTGTGACAGCTCCCCGGGGCCCTCGGATCTCAGGCTGCAGGCCAAAAGGAGGGGCCCGGGGCTGCTGGTACCCTGGCACCTGTGGCCGCACCCAGGGCCTTTCCATTGGGCCAAAGCCACATTTCCAAGGATGGTTTCATTCTGCAGACAGCTGACTTGCCAGGCCTTTGATGTGATTTGCTTCCAAGTACATCAAGTGAAAAATAATATTTTTATTATGGTATTTATTGCCCAAACAATATAACTACAACAATAATGGAAGCGTTTTTAATGAAAAGAAGAATCACTCATAGTCCACCACCTTTTCCTTTCCAGTTCCCCTTGTATATAAATTGTACATTGTTTCATTCAGGGTAGGGAGGATTTTGCTTTTTCCCTTAATGGTAGGATCATAATTGTTAATGGGGTGAAGAGGAGGGACCAACCTCTGTTTCCGCGCTTTGTCTGCTGGGCATTTTGCTGTGTTCTTATGCCAGTTGTCTCATTTAATCCTCACAACAACCTGTGAGGTGGGCGATCTATCCTCTTTCCTAGTAACTAGTGGATTTAAACCCAGCTTCTCAGCATCCAAATTCTGGTTTTCCTACTGCACCATGATAATATCCTAGTGCATGAGTTGGCAAAATTCAGTCCAAGAGCCAAATCCAGTCCTCCTCCCGTTTTTGTGTATTGTGAACTAAGAATGGTTTTTATGGTTGGGGAAAAAAATTAAATGAATAATATTTTGTGTCAGGTGAGAGTTATATGAAATCCATTTGTCAGTGTCCATAAATAAAGTTTTATTAGAATATCCCCATGCCCGTTTGTAAACATATTGTCTGTGACTGCTTTTGTGCTACAGTGGGAGAATTGAGTAGTTCAACAGAGGCTGTACTGTTTAGCCTGGAAAGCCTAAAATGTTTACTACCTGGCTCTTTTCAGAAAAAAGTATGCCAACCCAAAACTTTCTAGTAGAAATATATGGAAACCACATACATAATTAAAAATTTTGCAGTAGCCGTATTTATGAAGTAGAAAGAAACAGGTAATTTTAATATTTTATTTAAACGTATCTAAGGTATCATTTCAACATGTAATCAATAAAACATTCATTAATAATTGTTTATATATATGTATATATATAAATACGTGTCTTACGCTTACAGCACATCTCAATTCAGACCGGCTGCATTGTAAGTGCTCGGTAGCCACATGTTGCCGGTGGCCACCATATTGGACAGTGCCATTGCAGAGGGAACTCGGCCATTCCCATGTGAATGGCTGTGTTAGTCCTTTTCAAGTCTTCACTAGTGTAGGTAACACTGAGATGAACATCTTTGTGCAGATAGATTCCCAGCAGTGGAATCATGGTGTTTGAGGCATTGTTGGTCTGTTGTAGCTGCTTTCCCGTCTCAAGGGGAACTTGGAGGAAGAAAACCATCACCTCCTGAGCCAGATCCAGCTGTTGAGCCAGCAGAACCAGATGCTTCTGGAGCAGAACATGGAGAACAAGGAGCAGTACCACGAGGAGCAGAAGCAGTACATGTAAGGAGGATAGGTTGCTTTTATAGTGTAGTGGGTGATACCCCGTCCACTAAGAGGCCCCTGAGCCCCTCCTCCCCCTGGTTTATCGCAGTAATGAGTTCTCTGCTTCTGGAGGTCCTGCTTCCCTTGCCCCATGCCAGGACCCATGGCATTCTGGGCAAAGAACAGCCTCCTGGGCCCGTTAGTGTCCTGAGAGCCAGCGGACAGACCATCCACCAACTCACACGCTCTTAGTTTCCCTAGAATGGTTCTAGATTTCTGGAAGTAGGGATGGTGGCTTATTTTTGTTTGCTTTTCAAAGCCCGTCACCAAAAGCTTCTGGGCTTCATTTGCCTGTGGAGTGATGTTAACTCCTGAAACATGACAGTGCTGACGAGCGGCATCAGGGCCGCAGTTCAGATAGAAGTCTGAGAATGAGTGCTGTACGCCCATTCCTTCCTTGTCGGTGCCTGCTTCCCCCTAGATTGTCTGCAGAGTGAGTTGCTGGTATCTTGCAGCTGCTCTCACTGGTATTTCTGCAGTGCCAGCTTTGGTGTAGGTCATGCAGGGTGCACAGAGCTAGTTTCCTGGTAGCCATAACTAGTAGGGATGATATGAGAGAGGTATGGCCAAGGCTGGGCCGATGTCCAAGAGTTAAACGGAGGCATGGAAGGAAGAGTGGTGGGAATTCGGGTTCTGCCACTGAGACGAGGTGGGGAGGGAGCCAGCCGGGTGGAGGGGTATAGAGGTGGAGTGCAGCAAGGGGTCTGGGTGCCAGGAATGTGCTGGGAGATCGGGGAGAAGGCTGGAAAGGGAAGTGGGCTCAGTTGTGGAAGGCTTCCGTGCCAGGCTAGACTTTGGATTCATCAGGAAGGTTTCGAAGTGATCCAGCGTGGTAGTGGATCCCTGGGTGGTGCAAATGATTAACTCATTCGGCTGTTAACTGAAAGACTGGAGGTTTGGGTCCACCCAGAGGCACCTCAGAAGAAAGGCCTGGCAGTCAACTTCTGAAAGATCAGCCACTGAAAACCCTATGGAGCACAGTTCTACTCTGACACACATGGGGTCACTGGGAGTTGGAATAGACTCAAGGGCAACTGGTTGACTGGTTAGAGTAGCAGGATTTAGGAAGTTTCCAGAAATAGAGGATAAGAGGAAGAGCCCTCATGATGGAAACCTTGTGGTTTGGAAGCCTAGTGACGTAAGCAGTTGATAATCCAGAGCGATTTTCACCACTCCGTGCTGCGACAGTTGAACTGTTCTTGCACGACATTGGGAATGGCTGGCCCAGCAACCCGGCATGCCAGCATATCGGCGGCAAGTGTGGGCAAGGGGAAAAGAAGCACATTGTGGAGGGACCTGGTCATGGGGGCCACCAGTCCACCTTCTCAGTGCTTTCTGAAGTGACGGCGCTTCTTCATCATTCTTCCCCATCTGCTTCTTGTTCATCTCCTACCAAAGGATGATGTATGTTTGAAACCATGTTGTAATTTAGGGGTAGATCTGACAGTTGCCTGAAGCTGCCCCTCTGTAATCCATCTGATGAAGTTTGCCAGCAGAGGTTGGGCAGGTACTAACCAGGAGGAGGAGGAGCCTGGTACCCAGGGTGCTGCTACTTGATGACACGTTTGCATTAGACAGTATCTGCACCAGGCCAGTAGGTGGCAAGCTTCCCGGAGCGCCGTTCGGGGTCAGGGAGGGGCGTGACATCCACTCTAAGTTTGTCCTGTCTATGGAGCCAAACACCCAGAGAGTGCCCGAAGGGTGCAGCCAGGTGGCACTGTGGTGAGGACAGAATAGCAGAGCTCAGATGTTGAGCCCACGCAGTGTCGTCAGTGGTTTGAGAAGCTGTCGCTTTGCACAGGCTGCTCACTTCATGATGAACTGGGGAGATGAGGGGAGCTTGGTTTGGGCGGGACCCCGGGAACGTCACGACTGGGGAGCTGAGCCCTCATTTTCAAGCATGGAAGCCGGGGGTCTGAGCTGCCGAGACCTCACAGGTGGCGAGAGGCAGGCCAGGACATGAGTCTGGGTGTCCTGGGTCCTGGGGGCAGCATTGGGTAGCATGCACCCACATGTGCAGCCCCTGTGACTCCCTAAGATGAAACCGCAAGAGCATTCCCTTCGGATCAGGAGGGCCAGGATCTCCTCTGTAGAATCGAGGTGCCCTGCAGCACCCAAGGCTCAAGATGTATCTTTTTGGGCCCTCGCTCTGAGGGTGAACCGGTTTCCTACATTTAGAAATCAGGAGATTTTGCTTTATAACATGGGTTTCTGGCGTCTCTGAAAAAATTGGGAGATCTGCCCCCTCAGTCTGCATTCCCATGTGGCAGAGATCTGCTCGAGCTGGCAGCACACATGCTCCAGCTCGCCACAGTCCCCACCACTCCCTCTAGTCTTTCCCAGGCCCGCTCTGCTCATTATCTTCTCTGTCTGGCCCCTGAAAACTTTTGAGTTTGCTCCCATGGGAGTGCTAACAGAAACCCAGTGTTGGAATGGCCCCAAACCGGAGGTTTGACTTGGCTGAACTGACTTTTTTTTTTAATTAAAAAAATTGTTACAAATTTTATTTAATTTCCTGCAGTTCTGGAAAATAAAATATTGCTTCTCAATTGACTTTTATTTGAATATTTTATTGTGTTGTAGAAGAAAATTTTCACAGCAAATTAGATTCCCATTCGACAATTCTTACACAGATTGTTCCGTGTCATTGGTTACAGTCCCCACAGTGTGTCAGCGCTCTCACCATTTCCACCCTGCTGAACTGACTTTTTCAGCCTCAATGTCCATCCAACTCCCCAGAGAACCCCCCTCCCCAGGATATTGTGAACGTGCACGCCCAGGAGCTAGCCCTGTGTCTGTCCCCAGAATGCCCAAAGCCTTAAATGACCCGGCTGGAAAGTTCTTGGGGCTTCCAGGCTTGAGTTTTCAAATGGTTTGAGGCTTGACCCCACAAGCTCACTTACAGCTAGACCTTAACATTTTGTAGTAAATATGTCTCCGCAAGGTAACAGGGCTTCCTGGACCCCATCTCAAATGCTCCCAACTCAATGACTGTGATGGCCCAGACCACCATCATGTCTGAATCCTGAGCAAAATTGAGCCCCTGCTGGGATGATCAACAAATACACAAGGCTGTTCCCTCCGTGTTTAATTTAAAATCAGATTGAGATTTGATTTTTTTTTTTTTCCCTGTCTATTCCCAGAGACAAATTAAATGCCTTACGGAGACATAAGGAAAAACTGGAAGAAAAAATCATGGATCAGTACAAGTTCTATGATCCTGCTCCAAAGAAGTGAGTTGACTTAAGTTTGGGTGACTTAAACACTGAACAGAAAAGCTTCCTTTTTCATGAGTAGGGTGACCTGTCGTCACCTAGAGCAGTGTCCAGTGTGGGTCCCATGCCATCTGTTGTATGCAGTGTCTTCTGTGTGCAGGTCCCTCCTGAATCTGACCGCTGAGACATCCTTTCAGCTCCGTCTTCCACGCTTTTGGGAGCCTGTCCTGGGAGGAATGGCTAATGCCAGCTGACCTTGATGAGACCAGGCTTAGTTTTAGCCACGAGCCCTCACGGGCAGAGCGCCTTGGTGGTCATTAAAGCAGGATGGTGGGGCTGCCTTGTCAGTTTTTGCCATGGCAGACAACCGGGTTCCTGTTTGGGGAAGGGAGCTTGGGTAGGCCGCCTGGATCAGCACCCACAGTCTTCAAACATGGGAGCTTTTTGGCCTCATGTGAATTCCTCTGGATTCACTGGGCCCCAGGGCAGCTCTGTAAACACGTTCTTTTCTCCAGGCAGCAGCGAGCAAGTGGTTGTGGAGCTGGCTCTGTCCCTGCAGACCCATCCACACAGCAGGGCCTCCCCTTGTCCCAGGTCCCTGAGCCCCAGCGTCTGTCCTTCTGCAGGGCACCCAGCCTCAAAGTCAGAATCACACGAAGCCCTTGGGCTCTGCACTGAAACCATAGAACCATAGAACTTCAGATCTTCATCCTTCTCTCTGACAGATATGGAAATGAGGCCCATGAAGGTTGAGGGGTTTGCGTAACACACAGGGCTATTTGGCTCAGAGTCAGGATCGTAACCCAGGTGTGGTTCTCCTTCCGTTCTATGAGAATGTCTTCTCGCCAGCAGGCTGCACCTCTGTTGCTTACTCTGTAGATTCACTGCTTCATTTCACATAGCCCACTCTCCTTGGCCCTCTCCCCCTTCACCCAGGTTCCTCTGGGCCAGGGAGTGTCAAAGATGCCAGCTCACTCTACTTATTAACTTTAGCAGAAAGTGAGAAGGTTCTTCAATCTGCTCCTGAAAATGGGACATTTTGAGAGAGAAACTGCCATCTAGGTTAGCACAGCACCACTTCCTTGACTGCACGGATGAGCAGGGGCTGACACAGCTTCCTTTGAGTTCTCTTTTTCAAGACTGATGTGGATTTCTACCACAATGCCCACCTCTGCAACCCCTGGCCTGTGCCTAACTGGGATGATACTCCACCTCCAGAGCCCCAAGGACAGTGGTCGTAGTGATGGTGATAAGCGCCATCGTGTCTGAACCCCAAATTAACGGCTAGACTCCCCAGGCTGGTGATGGAAACCCCAGCCTACAGCAGGTAACCCAGTGAACTGCCAGGGTGTGCGCGATGTCCATGTGTCCTTCTAAAAATCTCCCTCTACCTAGGAAAAACCACTGGATTGGAGCCAAAGCCTTAGTTAAATTCATTAAGCCAAAGAAAGAGGGGTCTAGAGAACGGTCAAAATCGACCACAGACAGTCCATCCTGGCAGCTGGAATCCTCAGACCCGAACTCGCCACCTGCTTCTCAGCCTCTCAGATCACAGCCGGAGATCCTGGAGACCGTCCCGTCAGGGTCAAACTGTGCAGAAGAGCGAGACTCCCACAATGGGCCTGTGGGAAAAGGTAGGGGTGGGTGACCTCAGTGCAGTGGGGTAACAAAGAGGATGTTCTAAATGATTCGTTCATTGGTGAGAGTAGAATGAGATGGTGTGTGTGAGCACATGTGTATGTGCGTGCATGTGTGGGAAAGTGGAGGGTGTGTGTGTACGTACGTGTGCAGGAACATGGAAGGGCGTGTATATGCCTAGGTGTGTGTGGGAACATGGAAGGTGTGTGTATGTGCATGCATGTATAGGAACGTGGAGAGGTATGTGTATATGTGCGTGGGTGCAGGAACATGGAAGGATATGTGTGTGTGCAGGAATGTGGAAAGTGTGTGTATGTGCGTGCACGTGTGGGACCAGAAGGGTGTGTGTATGTGCGTGGGGGCGGGGAACGTGGAAGGATGTGCATGTGTGTGTGGGAACATGAAGAAGTGTGTGCATGCTTGTGCACTAATGGAAATGTGGAGAGTGTGCATGTGTGTGCAGGAACGTGGAGGGGTATGTACGTGCATGTGTGCAGGAACGTGGAGGGTGTGTGTATGGGTGTATGGGAACGTGGAAGGGTATATGTATTTGTGTGCATATGTGGGAACGTGGATGGGTGTGTTTGTGCTTGTGTGTGGGAGTGTGGAGAGTGTGTGTACATTCGTGCATGCCTCCTACTTAGGTATGTTATTAACCCAGCAAAAAAAAGAAATTAATGTCATTGTTGTGGCGATTTTGTCCTGTAACAATTTTGTTATTTTAGACAAGAAGCATCACTTGGAGTAGCCTGTGGTAGGTACTTGATATCCAAAGGTGATACTCATGCAGGCACCATAGAGACAAGTACAATACTGTAGTTTCTTCCAGCTCCCTTGTATGTGTCAAAGATTTCTAGTGAGCTATTTCTGTAAGGAGATCCCAGGGAAAACCCTGGTGGCATAGTGGTTAAGTGCTACAGCTGCTAAACAAAAGGTCAGCAGTTCGAATCCACCAGGCGCTCCTTGGAAACTCTGTGGGGCAGTTCTGTTCTGTCCTATAGGGTCGCTATGAGTTGGAATTGACTTGATGGTAACGGGTTTGGTTTTTTTTTTTTTTTTCCCCTGCGTATACAAGATCTTTAGAAAGTCCTTGTGTGTTTCTACTGTTGTATCACTTCGAAAGGCCCGTTAGGGTTTCTTCTCCAGCCTGGTCTGGACTTGTACCCTACCAGCCCTGGGCAGTTTATCTTTCACTGAGTGCCCTGGTTTGGGGTTTACCAGAGGTTCTGAAATAAGAATACAGTGTTTCATTGTATCATGCTGTATTTCATTGAACTTAAGAGGCCATCAATTACAAGATGCACAATTATTTTATATCCCACTGGGAGGAAGAACACTGACAATAAAATGAGGCAGTGCTTTATCAAGCAGAATTTTTATTAACTCTTGCTGAAAGAGCTCTTCTGAGCGCCTTAATGAGACAGATTTTTATGCATACTCCTAAAAGCAAAATGAATTGGTATTTTGTCACAGTGCCACCTGGCCAGTGGTAACTATAAGACATCCTTGACTCCAAGAAGCGTGCTGATTTCAGCGACATTCAGGATTGGAAAAAATGCATTGTAGCATTGATCAAACACAGTAGTTACCCTAAACATTATCTGATTTGCAAATTTACTTTTAAATATCCTTTATGGATTATTTATGCTGGGCCTGCATTGTGAGTACATACGTTTTCGTGAAGGACACCAGGACTTTCTGAAGATCAAGCCTATGCCTGAGACCCCTGTGCATCGTCCAACTCCCCTGGCCAGTGCCAAGCCATCTTCTGAGGGTGACGTGATGAGCCTTTGGGGGTTATGGTCACCGCTACAAGTACTTGTGGTGCCACTTCCATATGCAGAAGAGAAATGTGTGCACGTACACATGCCTTGTTTGGGGACGAATGCTGGCACTCCCGTCCTTCACAGGGGTTAGGATTAGGTAAAAGGCTTACACACAGGTGAATGATACTGAAGCTTAGCATTGCTTCTGTTCAGAGGGGTTCTGTTGCTTCAGGTTTTCATATTGGCTGTTGTTTAATTTTTTTATATATGTTATCTCAACTTTTTTAAAAAAAAAAGTTGAATTGAGAAACCTGTTGCTATCAAGTCTATTCCAACTCATAGCGACCCTGTAGGACACAGTAGAACTGCCCCATAGGGTTTCCAAGGCTGTAATCTTTATGGAAGCAGACTACCACATTTTTCTCTCACCGAGCGGCTGGTGGGTTCGAACCGCCAACCTTTTGGCTAGCAGACGAGCCCTCACTATAGTAAGCCTAGTTGAGTTAGGAAAACCTTCAGAGGGAAAACTGCTTGCACATGTTAAACTGCTCCATGAATGAGCAGGTCAGTAATGATTATTAATAGCAGCAACTATTTGTTGGCACTCCCTGGGCTGCTTGCCATGCTTTGTTTATCTCGGTTAGTCCTAACTGCCCATCGGGGTAGGCATGGCCATTATCTCTGTTGCAGGGCTGAGAAAGTGAGGCTCTGCGAAGTTAAACGCTTGCCATTGTAGGAAATGGTAGAATTGGGATCCAAACCTGAGCTCATAGCTGCTACGTGCACTGCCTCCAGCTCAGGGTCCACGAAGATGCTGCAGAAACACTTTGCTGAGCTCCTGCTTAGAGCCAGCCCTGGGCCAGGCACCAGGGATACCAGCATTGAAGAAAGCGGCCCCGTATTGTGTGGTGTAAAGGAGCCCTAGTGGCACAATGGTTAAGCGCTCAGCTGCTAACCAAAAGATTGGTGGTTCAAACCCACTCTAGCTCTGCTGGAGGAAGACCTGGCGACCTGCTCCTGTAAGGAGTACAGCCTAGGAAACCCTGTCATGTGGGGTCACAATGAGTCGGAATTGACTGGACAGCACCCAACAACATCATGTGGTGTGAGCCTTGGCCACCAGGTGGCACTGTGGGAAAGAAATAACAGGTTCTGGCATTATCTTGGAAACCCTATGGGGCAGTTCTACTCTGTCCTACAGGGTTGCTATGAGTCAGAATCAACTCGATGGCAGGGGGTTTGGTTTTTGGTTTTGGCATCATCTTTAATCCTAAGAGTCAGCAATGGGTTAAATCGTTTCACGTGAGTTAGATCAATTGGCTGCTTTGATAAGACTCTTATCATTTAAAGACCAGAAAGTGTGGGATTGGTTTGGAGGACGTGTTGGAGATCTAAAAGGGAATTAATGGTTCTTCTTGGTGTTGATGAGGGGTTTTGTTAGTTTGAAAAGAGGTGTTTTAATCATTTTTTTAAAACACATTCTGTTAAGAGAGGTTATTTTAGAGATAGAAAAATTATTAGTGGATACTTCAGGTAGACTTCCATTATAGTGGGCCAGAAACATACCGTGCAGTGTTTCTGAGGCCTTTGAAGGGGAGTAGGCGGGGTGTGTGAGCTGAATTGTCGGCCGCCCTGTCATTAAAATAGACGAGTAAGAGAAGCGGCTCCTAAATTAATAAACATTCTGATTTAATAATTTAACACACTGAAATTGAAAAGCAGCCTGAGCCATTGACTCCTTGGGCAATGTGTAATTCTCCTCATGTGCTGAGTAAGTCAATTGTTGGCCTTAAGATGCCACTACACTGATTAAATGGAGTCAGAGCATAAATGATCCACTGAGCCCCAGTTCTGGTCTGAGTGTGGGGTATTGTTTCTGTCTTTCCTGGCTGGAGCAGGATTGTGACTTCCTAAATACATTTAACTCATTTAGATTCATTTGTTATTGGATATTTCATTTATTTGTTTTTATTCTTTTTTCTTTCCTCTTTTGGGTTATCCGGGTGATAACACTTTAGCATCTCAGCGCAAAAAGAGTCCCTTTTTGAGAAGCAAAAGCAAGGACAAAGACAAGTCTCCAACGACTCACCCAGCTATCTCTAAACGCCTGTGGTTCTGGTCTTCCTCCGACATCCCGTCCTCCCCTAACGAGTCTCTCTCTTTCTCAGCAATCGGAGATTTCTAATCCTTTCCTGTATCATGTGTCTTCATCATGTATCCTTCATTTCTGAAATTTAAAAAAACAAAAAACAGTACCTAAAGGCCACATGACCTGTAATGGACCCCTGACCCCACTTCCAAGCCGAGCCCAAAGTAGCCAGCGTGGATTCTGAGTTCAAAATGGAAGATGAGTTGTCACACTCTGTGGACCTTTCTTCAGGGCGGCACAGTTTTAGGGGAGCCTCGGGACATACGTGCCCACGCGTATGTCCATCTCGGGCCAGGATGTCCGCACTCAGTAAGTTGCACGGCCATATGCTCTCGTGTGCACGCTTGTGCCTGCAGGCTTCCATCGTGCCCGCATGTAAAGTGGACTGGTCAGTTGTTGCTTCCTCTGCTTCCTAAACTCTGCAGCCTCGGCCAAGTGAGGCTTTTTAAGCAGCAAAAATTCAAACCTCTGCCCTTCTCTCCTCTGTCTTTGTCAGAGCGCTGCATTGTTGGCTTTTGATAACAAGACCCTTCTTTAGCCATGTTCTGTGTTTTGGAGAATTTATTGCTCTGTTCAAGCCGTTTGAAAAATTGGATTAATTGTGCTGAGCCAGAGGCCAGCCCTGAATGAAGTTTTGTGACTGTGCTGTTGATATCTGGCACCTGGATGCTGAAATGAAAGCAGTAGTGGACAGAAGGGACATCACACATCACTGGTCAGCGGAGGCCTTTAGCTACTGCAGTATTTCCCACCTTCAGCCTTTCTGGTACCATCTGCATGTTCTTGCCATATCCTCATGCCACCTGTATGATTGCATACACATCTGCCTTAAATTGGCTCACAGTTTTCCTATAAATTTGTTTTAAAAAGGAAAGATTCTATCAGTCCTGTAAATGAGAAGGAGTCCCTGGGTGGTGCAGATGGTTAACATGCTCAGTTGGCCGCTGACCCAAAGGTTGGAGGTTCGAGTCCACCCAGAGGTGACTCAGAAGAAAGGCCTGGCAATCTACTTCTGAAAAATCATCCACTGAAAACCCTATGGAGCACAGTTCTACTCTGACACACATGGGGTCACCGTGAGTCAGAGTCGACTTGATGGCAGCTGGTACTTGTAGCAAATGGAAAATCACTACACCATAAAAACAAGGTAATTGTAAAAATAAATATGTAACTACAGAAATGCTAAAGTTGATTCATGTGCCGCTGACTATCCCATGAGCCTTACCTGGGCACCCTGGGCTGCCACGTTGCCTGGCCCTCCAGACCTCTGTCCTCTCAACCTGTGGTTGGGTCTTGTGCTGTTTCCCTGACATTCATGCTAACTGTTCGCTCATCCTGCCTCCCCTCCATTGGGTCCTCATTCTAACTTCACCTGCCGGGTGATCAGTTTCCATTCATTCCACCAGACTTGAATCTTGCTTCTCATCAAGGTTATCTTTCAAAGTCCAAATTTGCTCCTTATTTCAAATTGCAAGATGCAGACGCTTAAAACTGCACAGTGAGCCCAGACTGTGAATGCCAAGTGGGCAGACGCGGTCAGTCTGCAGAAGAACGGGTCATAGGCCTGAATCTCCACGGTGCATCTCCAGGTCCACAGCTCTTGGGGTGCCTGGGATGGGACATTTTACAAAAGGCTTGGCCAGCCGTTGGGAACAGGGAGCGTGGTCATCTGTGTTTTGTATGTGGAGGACCCATTCTCTTTCCTAGTGGGTAGTTGGGTTTTTTTGTTTGTTTTGTTTTTTAATATGATTTTATTTAATTTTGTCGAGAGTACATGTTCGTGGTAGAAAATCTAGAGGCTGCAGAAAAGCACGAGGTATAAGGTAAAATCACCCTGCAGTCAATTTGACCATGCACAGATTTTCTTTCTTGCCTTCTTTTTTTAAGAAAACATCATTAGGTTGGCAGTAAACTTCTTTTTCAAATCATAACTGAAGCCAGTTGGTAGGACACACACCCTGGGGCTTCACAGCTGCGGCCACAGGTCCGGCGTGGTCCCAAGCAGGTTTCTATTAGGAGCGCCCCCCTTTTTTGTTGAGATTTTATTTTCTGTTGGTGTTGAGAATAGATACAGCAGAACCTACACCAATTCAACAGTTTCTGTATGTACAATTCATTGATACTGATTATATACACAACTGTTCTCCCCTCCTTTTCTGAGTTGTTCCTCCTCATTAACATCAACTTACTGTCCCCTAAGGTTCCTCTCTGATCTTTTGAGTTGTCAATTTGATCCCTTATAGATCTTAAAAGAGCGTAATGCTCAAGGCACACATTCTTTACTAGTTAAGCTAAACTATTGTCTGGTTTTACAAAGACTTCAGGGGCTGTTATTTTTGGTGTAAGGTTTAAAGATTATCTCAGGGCAATAGTTTCGAGGGTTCACCCAGCCTCCATGGCTCCAGAAAGCCTGAATTCCGCACAAATTTGAAATTCTGTTCTGCATTTCCCCCCTTTTGATCAGGATTCTTCTGTGGAATCTTTGATCAAAATGCTCAGCAATGGTGTTAGGAGCTTTTTAAAGTGGAGGTTTGAGTTGCAGCGTTCCATAGGAGGTGGCCCCGTAGCTGATATTTTGGACTGCCTTGAGTTCCCTTTTATTTTCTTTCAGTCTTTCACAGCTCGTGGTGTGACCCCCTCATTTGCTCCAGAGCCAGCCTCATGGGGCCTCCCAACACAGGCCCGTAGTCAGGCCCCCTCCTGTTTAAACTGCAGCCCCGCTTGTGTCCTGTGGTCTGTGTGCCCTTCTGCCTCTGCTTCTAGGCCTTGGGATGGTGGCCCAGCCAGGGCATAGGATCTTGCAGCTTCATTTCTCCATGTCCTTTTCTGGCCCAGGCCCCGGGGATCCAAAAGCGAAGCGAGGGTCCCCACATGGAGGCAGTGTGGACCACACGGACACCCCCACTGACCCAGCTGTGAAGTCCTGGCCTGCAGAGCTGGGCACCCGGACCTGTGCCACCTCAGTCATCACTACAACCCCTTCCAGCTCCACCCCTATCTCCCGGCACCCAGGCCGCACCAAGGGTGAGTCATGGGCCCCTTTCAGAGCCAGGAGAGCAACTGGAGCCGGGGTCCTTCCTAAAGACCCCAGGCTGTCAGAGGCAAGATGGGTCTCTCCCCCTCCAAGGCTGAGTGGTGGTAAGCAGAGCAGTTAAGCAACGGATGGACTTTGACATCATTCAGACACAAGTTCATATCTCAGCTCTGCTTTCCAGCTGTGTGACTTTGGGGCAAGGACTTAACCATTCTCAGCTGGCGATGGAGAAAGCATCAGAACCGTCTGTCATCGGTGTTCAGGAATGGGTGGCACCAAGTAGGTCCAGAAGGAGGTGGAGGTAGGGCAGAGAACCAGAGTTTGGACTGAAGCCAGGCAGCTGCCCCTACCCCACCTTGGTAGAAGTCTGCAGGTTTATTGTCTAGAGGGTCAATTGAGCATCCCTGACCTGGAGGTCACAGACCCGGCTGAGGTGGTGTACTGTACCGGAAACAAGGGCATGCAGTGGAAGTTTGCAGACTGAATGTTGACACGCTCACACTCCCCACCCACCCGTCTCTGTTCGCCCACCTGTCTCCCAGGATGCCGGTAGCCAGGTTCACACCTCTAGTTAGGGGATCGAGATAGTCTTTGAGGAATCTGATTAGCCTGAGAGATTCCCAACAGAATGGCTGTCAGATCTCGCTGGGTGAAGCCCAATGGAAGCCCCGGTCAGTGTATAGTACACAGCTGTTAAATATAAGCAGACAGCCAAGGCTCCTTAGATACCTGAGGAGAGCCTCCAAGACCAACGTGGACAGCAGAAGTGTGATTTAAAGTTAAATCAGGTAGGAGTCGCAGTGGTAGGGCTGACCCAGCAGGAGAAGTCAGGGGAGGCAGGTCCCCAAGGCACCATCCATGCTCCCCTCCTTATCCCCAGAAGCTGGATACGTCACTCACTATTCGAGCAGCTGACAAATCCAGAGTTGGCCATCTGACAGAGGGCCAGGTTTCCTGTGCATGTTCGTGAGCCCTTGCCTCATCAGCTCTGTTTTCACCGTAGGCTGTAACTCAGATGACACCCTCTTTGAGTCGTCCCTGGGGCTCGAGTTCGCCAGCCACAGGCAGTACGGTGAGTGGGCAGCGCGTTGTGTCTTCCACCTGGGGGCTTACGCTTGTTTTTATTAATGATACGTTTTCCTTCAAACTAAGTCCTGTGTGGAAGTCCAACATACCAAAGGATCATAGTTGATGGCTGAAGTGGCATTATGGTTGAATATAGTTGAGATCTGGTTGAAGTGGGAATGGCGGGGGGGTGCGCAGTGTTCCTCCATGCTCCTTCTTCCTCGCCCTCCCCCAGGGCTGATGCATGTAGCTCCTGCTTACCCACCTCCAAAAACAAAAACCAAACCCGTTGCCTTGAGTCAATTCTGACCCATAGTGACCCTGTAAGGACAGAGTAGAACTGCCCCATAGGATTTCCAAGGCTGTAATCTTTATGGAAGTAGACTGCCACATCTTTCTCCTGTGGAGCGGCTGGTGGGTTCAAACCATTGACCTTTCGGTTAGCAGCGGAGCATTTAACCATTGCTCCACCAGGGCTCTTTAACACACCTCCAGTGGCAGGGAATTCACTACCTCCCAAGGTGTTTCATTTTTGGAAGCTCTGATTATTCTAAGATTGTTCTTACGTTGAGCCAAAGCTCTTCTCCCTGTAGTTTTCCACGTGTTCATCTTGGGTTCTGTCCTCTAGGTTAGCACCAAACGAGTGTAATTCCTCTCCCAGGAAACAGCCTTTCAAATGCTGTCTTATTACCACCTCCTCACCCCCCTTGCCAGCCCTGGTGGCCTGCACTGGGAGCGTTCCTCTCGGGAATGTTTTCACTGTCCTCACTAGCGTCCTAGTTGCACGAGGAAGCTCTGCATTGTGTTCAGGCTTAGAAACTGTCAGGAGCACTTGTCTTTGATCCAGGCTGATTGTAAATTTCTGCAGAAGGGCAACAGTGAATTATCTCAACCCTCTCAAAAATTAAAAGCTGTTCTGTGTTCTTATAGTTTTCGAAAAACAAAAAACTTAAAAGGGTAGGAAAATAATTCTTTAAAAAGAAAGAAAGAAACGACAACTTAGAAAGTTTACCTTGAATTCAGCGTATTTCCGAAGTGATCAACAATAAATGTAGGAATTAGCATTATTGCCTGCCCTATCTGTTGTCTAAAAATGACAGTGACATTCATTCGTACAAATATAGAAAATTACAACTTAACATGAGTAAAGATGGGCTCTGTACTGAAACAGATTGACACAGAGAGTCCTCCTGTCATTGCACTGAATGGAGGGTATGTAGCGGGAGGAATCTGCCATGTTTGCTAGCAGGCAGAGCTTGACGAGTCTCGCTGGGTGGCTAGGTTTATGGTTAGTAATCAACTGGTCAGAAGCATTTTCTTGATAAATGTTCTGATTCCTCTAGCTTTGGTTGTTAGGAAAAAGGGGAAAGGGACTGGAGTTACATTGCTTGAATAAACAAAGGTACTTCTGGGTCCCATTGATTTGTATCCATTTCCTTTTAGTTAAGCTTATTGTTGGCTTTTTAAAGAGACGAGCATTTCTGATTTCAAATGTTCCCTTCTCTATATAAGACCAAATGGACATGAGCTATTTTAAAGCATAGATGAGAAGGTTGGGAAGCAGGGAGTTTAAGACGGTGGGAGCAAAACAACTGGAACAGAAATAACAAGAATGTTGACACCATGTGACGCATGTAGCCAATGTTACTAATCATTGTGTCTAGAAACTGTTGAATGGGAGCAGGTTTTGCTGTGTATATTTTCACCAAAAATAAAATATTTTTAAAAATGTTTCCCTTTTTAAAGAGGGGACTTATTCTACTTTTATGCAATTCATGAAAAGCAAGTTTGAGGGGGCTTACCCCCAGACACAGCACGTTCACATGCTGCCCGCTGCTGGGGTGCTCACCAGCATTTGGGAACCAGGGGCATTGCAGCTACCCAGGAAGCATGAGCAAGCTTTCCTTGGGGAACCGTGGGCACAGTGTCTCCTAGTGTTTCTCCAGGTTCTCAGTGCAGTTCAGTCAGCTCCAGCTGTGTGCCGGGGGCGGGGGTGCAAGGAGGACTCAAACACAGTCCTGCCCCCAGCAGCTCAACAGTCCAGCATAGGAGACGCGCTTGCTCTCGGGGTACTCTGATACGGGGCAGCTGGTGAGGCCGTGATGCTAGTGCTGCTGGAGACTGAGGCCAGGACAGGTGGCTCTGCCCGTCGTGGGAGGCACAGCCCGCCCTGTGCCGGGGCTGGTCCCGCTCCTCCTGAGAGTCTGCAGCCAGGACGGTCACGAACCTGCACACGCAGCAGCCAGAAGGGCCGGCTTCTCTCATGCTTGTCACTGTAAGGTGGACTTTTCCCTTTGGGGTAGATGTAAACGTGAGGCGAAGGAAACAAAGGAGCTGAAGAATAAAAAACAGCTAGGAGAAGCAAGTGCTCCCTTTCCTCCTGAGGGTCCCAGCACCCACCCTTTGTGAGGATGCAGCCTGGCTGGCGGGTCTTTAGCACCTGAAGTGGAGTTGCCCTGTGCACCTGAGCATGCTCGCACACACTTGTGTACACCTGTGCACGCCCTGCCTTCAACAGCCTTTCGTCTTCCTTCCTGTTGGTTTCCTACCTCCTGCTCTCACCAAGCTGCACCGTCATGGTCTAGGGCAGGGGGTTTTCCCATGTTTTCTGGAAAGTTCTGTGCAATAATGGGGGCGGGGAGGTGGGCAGAACTCTACCTACACCGCTACCCCAACCCTTGCTTTACCCAGAGCAGCCATTTTCTGTCTTCTTTCTGTATTGGAGTTCTGCATGAGATTTTCTTTGCTAACAAAATTGTTTTAAATCACAGCCCTGTTGCTGTTGGTTGCCATCAGATGGCGACCCCAAGTGTGCAGAGTAGTACTGCTTCATAGGGTTTTCAAGCTGTGACTTTTCAGAAGCAGATCACCAGGCCTTACTTCCAAGGCATCTGTGAGTGGGTTTGAACTACCAGCCTTTTCGTTAGTAGTCCAGCGCTTAACCATTTGCACTACCCACAGCCCGAGACCTGGTAAACCATCAAACCTAACAAAAATAAATAACAGAAGTTAGTGTTACTAGTTAGTAGTGGTAGTGGTTAGTAGGCTATTGCCAACCTGCTGTGTGCTAAGCCTAGAGCTCAGCTGGTGAAGCTAAACTTCCTCATAGGCATATACAGATAGTCCAAAAGGTCCTTCCTTCTTGAGGGCATTTGCCTTACCTTTGGCATATAATTGTTTTATTACATAATTTTTCTCAGATTAGATGGTTTTAATTTGGGATATATCTTGTCATCAGCCCTTTATGTTAAATGTTGCCATCTCCTTCCAGTGTCCCGGCCAAGTAGCTTAGAGAGCAGTAGAAATACATCTAGCAACAGCTCACCTCTTAACCTAAAAGGTAAGTAAGTCTTTTCCTTCTGTGCACTTTTTAATTTATTTAGAAGTTTGGCTTTGGACTCATTTTTAGAATTTAAACAATACAGTTAACAGGACTCTCAAATGCAGGATGATGAGTTCAGGGGCCACATGATACAGTTTCAAGGACACGCCTGGGAGTTTGAACAGATGCAGGTCTAAGTCCCTTCTCTCCCACTCACCAACTTTGAACATGGACAAGTCACAATCCTTTGAGTCTCAGTTACTTCATCTATAGAATAGGGATAGTAATAGTAGTTCCATTCCATTATGGTCAGAGAACATAGTTCAGATGATTTTGATTTTTTTAAATTTTTTGAGGTTTGCTTTAGGGTGCAGAATATGGTCTGTCTTAATGTTCCCTGTACACCTGAAAATAATGTGTATTCTGTTGTTGAGCAGAATGTTCTGGTTTTGTCCGTTAGCTCAAGTTTGTTGATAGTGTTGTTCAGGTCTCCTACGTCCTTACTAATTTATTTATTTTTTTAAATTGTACTTTAGATGAAGATTTACAGAACAAATAGTTTCTCATTAAACAGTTGGTACACATATTGTTTTATGACACTGGTTAACAACCCCACAACATGTCAACACTCTCCCTACTCTACCTTGGGTCCCCTGTTACCAGCTTTCCTGTCCCCTCCCGCCTTCTAGTCCTTGTCCCTGGGCTGTTGTGCCCCATTAGTCTTGCTTTGTTTTATGGGGCTGTCTAATCTTTGGCTGAAGGGTGACCCTCAGGAGTGACTTCATTACTGAGCTAAAAGGGTATCTGGGAGCCATACCCTTGGGGTTTCTCCAGTCTCTGTCAGGCCAGTAAGTCTGGTCTTTTTTGTGTGTGTGTGAGTTAGAGTTTTGTTCTACATTTTTTTCCGGCTCTGTCCAGGACGCTCTGTTGTGATCCCTGTCAGAGCAGTCAGGGGTGGTAGCCGGGCACCATCTCATTGTACTGGACTCAGTCTGGTGGAGGCCATGGTAGTTGTGGTCCATTAGTTCCTATGTCCTTACTAATCTTTGATCTACTTGTTCTGATTACTGAGAGAGGAATGTTGAAGTCTTTTACTATAATTGTGCATTTGTCTTTTTCTCCTTTCAATTCTGTCAGTTTTTGCTTTAGGTCTTGGAAGCTTTTTTGTTACTTAGCATTATTATGTCTTAGTTGACTCTCTTATTATGTAATGGTACTTATTATTTCGATAATATTCCTTGTTCTGAAGTTTGTCCGATATTAGTATTACCACACCAGCTTCTTTTGATTAATATTTTTATACCTTTTTCCATCCTTTTAATTTGTTTATGTTATGGTTAGCATATAGTTGGATCTTGCATTTTTAATCTAATCTTAGAGTCTCTGTCTTTTAATTGGTATGTTTAGACCATTTACATTTAATGTAATTATAGATGTGATTGTATTACATCTACCATCTTGTTAGTATTGTCTATTCTTTGGACTTTTGTGTCTCCTCTGCCTGCTTTTGGATTATTTTTTAGTTTAATGTGTGTTGTTGTTAGGTGCCCTCGAGTCAGTTCTGACTCATGAAATGAAATACTGCTCGGTCCTGTGCCATCCTCAGAATTGTTGTTATGCTTGAGCTCATTGTTGCAGCCACTGTGCCCGTCCATCTTGTTGAGGGTCTTCCTCTTTTCCGATGACCCTCTCCTTTACCAAGCATGATGTCCTTCTCCAGCGACTGGTCCCTCCTGATAACGTATCCAAAGTATGTGAAACAAAGGCTCGCCATCCTTTCTTCTAAGGAGCATTCTGGCTCTACTTCTTCCAAGACAGATTTGTTCGTTCTTCTGGCAGTCCATGGGATATTCAACATTCTTTGCCAACACCATAATTCAGAGGTATCAATTCTTCCGTCTTCCTTATTCATTGTCCAGCTTTCATGTTCATAAATGAGGCAGCAGCGTGGCTTGGGTCAGGTGCACCTTTGTCCTTATAGGTGACATCTTTGCGTTTTAACACTTCAAAGAGATCTTTTGCAGCACATTTTCCCAAAGTAATGTGTCGTTTGATTTCTTGACTGCTGCTTCCATGGGTGTTGATTGTGGATCCAAGTAAAGTGAAATCCTTAACAACTTCAGTCTGTTCTCCATTTATCATGATGTTACTTATTGGTCCAGTTGTGAGGATTTTTGTTTTCTTTATGTTGAGGTGTAATCCATACTGAAGGATGTACTCTTTTGATCTTCATCATAAGTGCTTCAAGTCCTCTTTCATCAAGAAGGGTTGTGTCATCTGCATAAGGCAGGTTGTTAATGAGTCTTCCTCCAATCCTGATGCCCTGTTCTTCATATAGTCCAGCTTCTTGGATTATTTGCTCAGCATACAAATTGAATTAAGTATGGTGAAAGAATACAGTGCTGACACACACCTATCCTGACTGTACGCAGTATGCCCTTGTTCTGTTCAAACGACTGCCTCTTGGTCTATGTCAGGGTTCCACATGAGCACAAATAAGTGTTCTGGAATTCCCACTCTTTGCAGTGTTATCTATAATTTATGATCCACACAGTTGAATGCCTTTGCATAGTCAAGAAAACACAAGGAAACATCTTTCTGGTATTCTCTGCTTTCAGCCAGGATCCATCTGACATCAGCAATGCTATCTCTCATTCCATATCCTCTACTGAATCTGGCATGAATTTCTGGCAGTTCCCTGTCCACGTACTGCTGCAACCAGTTTTGAATGATCTTTAGCAACATTTTACTTACGTGTGATATTAATAATATTCAGTAATTTTCGCATTCGGTTGGATCACCTTTCATTGGAATGGGCACAAAGATGCGTATCTTCCAGTCGGTTGGCCAGGTAGCTGTCTTCCAAATTTCTTGGCATAGATGAGTGAGCACCTCTGGTGCTGCATCCATTTCTTGAAGCATCTCAATTGGTATTCCGTCAATCTCTGGAGCCTTATTTTTTGCCATTTCCTTCAGTGCAGCTTGGACTTCTTCCTTCAGTACCATTGGTACTTGATCATATGCTTCCTCCTGAAATGGTTGAACATCACCCAATTCTTTTTGGTGCAGTGACTCTGTGTATTCCTTCCATCTTCTTTTGATGCTTCCTGTGTTGTTTAATATCTTCCCCATAGGATTCCTTCAAAATTGCAACTTGAGGCTTAAATTTTTCCCACAGTTCTTTCAGCTTAGAAATGCCGAGCATGTTCTTCCCTTTTGGTTTTCTAACTCCAGATCTTGGCACATTTCATTATAATACTTTACTTTGACTTCTTAAGCTGCCCTTTGAAATCTTCTGTTCAGCTCTTTATCGTTTCTTCCATTCCCTTTAGGTACTGTAAGTTTCAGGAGCAAGTTTCAGAGTCTCTTCTGGCATCCATTTTGGCCTTTTCTTTCTTTCCTGTCTTTTTATTATTTTTGACTGTACTTTAGAGGACGGTTTACAGAGCAAACAAGTTTCTCATTAAACAGTTAATACACATATTGTTTTGTGATGTTGGTTGCCACCCCCACAACCCCACAACATGTCAATACTGTCTCCTTCTTGACCTTGGGTTCCCCATTACCCCCTCTTACCTGTCTCATCCTGCTTTCTCATCCTTGCCCCTGGGCTGGTGTGCCCATTTAGTCTTGTTTTGTTTTATGGGCCTATCCAATCTTTGGCTGAAGGATGAACCTCATGAGTTACTTCATTACTGAGTTAAAAGGGTGTCGGGGGGCTAGTTTCTGTCAGACCAGTAAGTCTGGACTTTTTTTTTTTTAATAAGTTTGAATTTTGTTCTGTATTTTTCTCCAGCTCTGTCCAGGCCCCTCTATTCTGATCTCTGTCAGAACAGTAAGTGGGGGTAGCTGGGCACCATCTAGTTGTGCTGGACTCAGTCTGGTGGAAGCTGTGGTAGGAGTGGTCCAATAGTCTCTTCCCTGTCTTTTTAATGACCTCTTGCTTTCTTCATGTATGATGTCCTCGATGTCATTCCACAACTCGTCTAGTCTTCGGTCATTAGTGTGAGTGTGTCAAATCTATTCTTGAGATGTCTCTAAATTCATGTGGGATATACTCAAGGTCATACTTCGGCTCTCATGGACTTGTTTTTATTTTCTTCAGCGTCACCTTGAACTTGCATATGAGCAATTGATGGTCTGTTCTACAGCCGGCCCCTGGCCTTGTTCTAACTGATACGGAGCTTTTCCATCATCTCTTTCCACAGGTGTAGTCAGTTTGATTCCTATATATTCCATGTGGCAAGGTCCATGTGTGTAGTTGCCGTTTTATGTCGTTGAAAAAGTTTTTTTGCAGTGAATAAGTTGTTGGTCTTCACATTCTATCATGAGATCTCTGACATCGTTTCTATTACCAAGGCCATATTTTCCAACTACTATTTCTTGTTTCCATCTTTCGCATTCCAGTCACCAGTAATTATCAGTGCATCCTGATTGCATGTTTGATTAATTTCAGACTGCAGAAGGTGGTAATAATCTTCAATTTCTTCATCTTTGGCCTTTGTGGTTGGTGCGTAAATTCGAATAATAGTCATATTAACTCGTCTTCCTTGTAGGTGTATGGGTATTATCCTATCACTGACAGCGTTGTACTTCAGGATAGATCTTGAAATGTTCTCTTTGACGATGAATGCAACGCCATACAGCTTCAATTTGTCATTCCCAGCATAGCAGACCATATGATTTGCCAATTCAGAATGGCCAATACCAGTCCATTTCAGCTCACTTATGCCTAAGACACCAATGTTTATGCATTCCATTTCATTTTTGATGACTTCCAAGTTTCCTAGATTCGTACTTAGTGCATTCCATGTTCCAATTATTAATGGATGCTTGCAGCTGTTTCTTCCGATTTTGAGTTGTGCCACATCAGCAAATGAAGTTCCCGAAAGCTTGACTCTGTCCACATCAGTCAGGTTGACTCTGCTTTGAGGAGGCAGCTCTTCCCTAGTCGTATTTTGAGTGCCTTCCAACCTGAGGAGCTCATCTTCTGGCAGTATATCAGACATTGTTCTGCTGCTATTCATTAGATTTTTGCTGGCTAATTTTTTCAGAAGGAGACCGCCAGGTCCTTCTTCCTAGTCTGTCTTAGGCTGGAAGCTCAGCTGAAACCTGTCTACCATGGGTGACCCTGCTGGTATTTAAAATACTGGTGGCATAGCTTCCAGCATCACAGCAATACACGAGGCACCACAGTAGGACAGTCTGAAAGACACATGGGATATTCCATCTCTACTAAAAAATTTTTTGGTGAATGCCCTAGAGTTTACAATGTTGTTGTTGTTGTTAGGTGCCATTGAGTTGGTTCTGACTCTTGGCAACCCTATAGACAACAGAACAAAACAGTGCCCGGTCCTGTGCTGTCCTCGCACTCCTTGTTATGATTGAGCCCATTGTTGCAGCCACTGTGTCAAATGATCTCATTGAAGGATTTCCTCTTTTTTGCTGACCCTCTACTTTACCAAGCATGGTGTCCTTTTCCAGGGGCTGGTTCCTCCAGATAACTTGTCCAAACTATGTGAGATGAAGTCTCGCCATCCTTAATTCCAAAGCATTCTGGCTGTACTTCTTCCAGCACAGATTTGTTCATTCTTCTGGCAGTCCATGGTATATAATATTCTTCACCAACACCATAATTCAAAGGCACCAGTTCTTCTTCCATCTTCCTTATTCATTGTCCAGCTTTCGCCGACATATTAGGCAGTTGAAAATACCATGGTATGGGTCAGGCGCACCTTAGTCCTCAAAGCGACATCTTTGCTTTTTAACACTTTAAAGGGGTCCTCTGCAGCACATTTGCCCAATGCAATAAGTCATTTGATTTCCTGACTGTTGCTTCCATGGTTTACAGTATACACCATTAATTAATCACAGTCTTTCTTCAAATAAAATCATACTGCTTCAGCTATAGTGTAAGATCCTTGTAATAGTGTACTCCAACTCCTCCCTCTCTTCATTTGTGCAATTATTGTCATACAGTTTATTTTTATATATGTTGTAAACCCGTAATACATTCCTACTATTTTTGCTTTAGACAGTCAATTATCTTTAAAAGACGTTATAAGTAAAACATAAAAGACGTTTTCCTTCTTTTTAACCATTTTAGGAATATTTCATTTCTCTTTGAGGATCCAGTTTTTTGGTTGAGTATTATGTTCCTGTCTCAAGAATATCTTTGAACGTTTTTTTCTAGCACAGGCCTGCTAGTAATGAACTCTCTGCATGTGTTACCTGCATGTTTTGTCTGAAAACGTCTTCATTTTGTCTTTATATTTGAAAGGCATATTTGCTAGGTTAAGAATTCTTGCTTGACTTTTTTTTCCTTTGAGCATTTTAAAGCTGTTACTCCATTGTCTTCTAGCTTGCAGTTTCTGATGAAAAATTTGTTATATATAATTTGTTCTTCAATATATAATGTACCGTTTTTCCATATGGCTGCCTTCAAGAATTTCACTGCATGCTTGATTCTCAGCACTTTTAATATGATGTGTCTAGGTGGATGGTGGTGTTTTAACATTCTTGGTGCTGTTTTAAGCTTCTTGGATCTGTGGTTTGATAGCTTCCATTGTTTTTAGAAAATTCTCAGCCATTCTTTCTTCAAGTATCTTTTCAGCCCTCTTCTCTTTTCCTGTGGGTTTCCAGTTACAGATGTTAGACCATTTGATGTTGTCCTACAGCTAGAGGGTACTTTGTCCTGTTTCTTTGTTTTGTTTTCACTCTTTTTTCCTCCTTATATTATGATTTGGGTAATTTCCACTGATCTATATTCAGATTCACTGATTTCTTTCCCTTGGCTATGTTGAATCTCCTGATAAGCCCATCAGAGGCATGCTTCGTCTCTGGTACTGTGTTTTTTATGGCTATCATTTTCATTTGATTCTTCTTAACAGTTTCTGTCTCGGCTGATTTTTGCCATCTTTTCATTGTTCATGTATGTTATCTACTTTTATCTTTGTAGCCTTTAGCATGTTATCCACAGTTTTTAATTTTCTGCATGATAATTGCAGTATCTGGTTTATATTTGAGTCTGGTTCTGATTATACTTTATTTCTTGACAGTGTAGTGTGTTGTTTTTCTTGCTTTCTTGTGTATCTTGTAAATTTTTGTTGAAAACCAGACATTGGATGTAGGAGAGTAGAGAATGAAGTAAATAGTATATGTACCTGTAAATGGTAATGCTTCTTGATGAGGTAAGTCTTCATTATGGGAGTTGAGTCAATCAGATTAGGAGATGACCTCAGTTTGGGTTTTGTTGTTGCTATGGTTACCCTCAGCGTATGACCAGTTTCAGATTCTTCTAGTCTAACCTTTGGTTCATGAGGGAAGCTAGGTTTCTCCCTCCTTTCCCTAGGCAGCCAAACTCTTCCCTGTATGTTCGGCAAGTCTTATGTGGGAGAGAGATTCTTGACGTTTCCCCAGCAGTGTTATTGTTGTTATCTGTCGTCGAGTTGGCTCCCAACTCATGGTGACCCTATGCACGATGGAACGAAACACTACCTGGTCCTGTGCCATCCCCACGATCAGTTGCAGATTGGACCATTGTGATCCATTGAGTTTTCATTGGCTGATTTTTGGAAGTAGATCATCAGGCCTTTCTTTCTAGTCCATGTTAGTCTGGATGCTTTGAAACATGTTCAGCATCATAGCAACATACATTCCACCACTGACAGGTGGTAGCTACACAAGGTGTATTGGCTGGGAATCAAAATCAAGTCTCCTGCATGGAGGCGAGAATTCGCCCACTGTAGGAGACCTTTAATGATCTGGGCCCAGGATGATTCCAGGGGCAGAGGTGTTTTCTTTTCCCCTTCTCCCATCACAAAGGGTCTTCACTTGTGCTCAAGGGGTGACAGGGTTTGTTGCCTCTGCTCTCCCGCTGGCTTAAGGCTTTTGTTCTGTAGGGGAGAAGGACCTGGGCAGGTCTTTGTGCTTTTCCCACAGGGGTGGCTGCTGCTCTCCTCCAGACTTGCACCTCCAGTCTCTTGCCCTGTCTCCAGTCCTTCTCCTGAGCACCTGGTGAAGTGCATGGGGAGAGCCTGTGAATGGGTGTTATATGCCTATGTCTGCAACTCTGAGTGGTTCTGTATTCTCACGAAAGCCCACCTTCAGCCTTTAGCAGCTGGTTGAAATTGTAGAAAATTCTGCTTGTATGGCACCTGGTGTCTCTTTCTCCCATGCTCTGCCCAGGTAAGTTAGTACTTGTGTTCCGTTGACCTTGGCGGGGCCTGTCTGACCTTGGAAGGACCTGTCTGTGCTTGGATTTCAGGCTGCTTAGGTGTCCTGTGACCTCAGCTCTCCAATAGGTTTAGAAAAGTTATGACTCAATAGTTTGTCCAGCTTGTTCTTACAGGAGTGATGCTATTTTCAGCTTCCTGCATCCCAGGGGGAAGCAGAACCTGTGTCACCTGTTTTAATTCTCTGAGTTGCACTTAGCACCATCTGACACTGTTTGTGTTTGTTTATTTGCTCATTTATTATCTGCCTACCACACACATGGACCCACTCCCTCAAGATTGTAAACTCCATGAAGACAGGATTTTTTTTTTCTTTCCTACCACATGCCAGCCCCTGGAAGAGCACCTAGCATGTCCAAAAACCAAACCCATTGCCATCCAGTGGATTCCAACTCATAGCGACCTAGCATGTCGTAGGTGCTAAAGAAGCCTTTTGTAAATGAGTGGATGTGAGCTAAAGAGTGTCCTGCCTTACAGCTATTCTTAATTTAAGCTTTCGCAGACTCTTTTCACTTTCATCTCAGCTTATTTTGCTCTTAAATGTCAAAGTGGAACTCTAAGGATTCCAGAATGCCCTGTAACATCCAAAATCCCAGCCTGGGAGGGGCAAGCCCTGTGTCTTGAGTGAGTCAGAGGCAGTACAGAGCCCCTGGAGTCCAGCAAGTGGAAGACTGACATGAGCTGTTCTATGTCGCCCCGTCCCAACACCCAGATTCCTCCGACCAGCTCCATGGCAGGTCTGAGAGCTTCAGCAGTGAAGACCTGATCCCCAGCAAGGACGCGGCCACTCCCCGCGAGGCCAGCACCCTAGGGCGCCCTACCCTAGGCCGCCATGAGTACCCCCCGCCCCGAAACGGGCCCCTGCTGCAAGAGGGCGTTCAGAAGAGGGGTGTGGCCCAACCCCCTGCTGGAGGGCGGCTGTGCTCTGCCTCTCCGAGCAGCGAGATGGTCACCCTGGAGGAGTTTCTGGAGGAGAGCAACCGCAGCTCCCCCACCCACGTGAGTGCCCTGGGCGCTGCCACGGGGTGGCTCTCTCCTCTCCCTGGCTCAGGGCTGTGCAGGAGCCTCAGCAGCGGAGCCACAGAATGGAACAGGGCGGGGGAGCAGGGCCTGGGTGCGGGGCGGTGTGGCGTTGGGAGGATAGCCATTAGCCAGCAAGTCATCCAGTGCCGGGAATCACCCCCCAACCTCAGAGACTGCTTCCGACTGATAAAGTGAGCAGGCAGAGCTCATGGCCACATGGAGGGGGGTACGGGGTATTGCCAGCACCCCCAGTGGCAGGGTCAGGGCTTCCCACTCAGTGCAGTGGCAGAGCCCTGAGTGTCCACAGTGGGGGCGGGGATCACCTTGCTCGGAGTTTCCCTCAGCAGAGGTTGGCAAGCTTTTTCTCTAAAGGGGACAGTAAATATGTTAGCCTGGTGGGCCGTACAGTCTCTGTTGCAGCTACTCAGCTCGGCCATGGTAGCTCGAAAGCAGCCACAGGCCATGCATCCATGAAGGCTCGTGGCTGTCGTGACGGGAGAGCCAGGCCAGCTCGTGGGTTGGGGCACAGATAGCGCTAAGGCTGGGATCGGGCAGGGCTTTGTGGAGAGCAGCTTCCTGCTGTCTGCCCAGGGGGCTCATCCCAGTAACCGCACGCACCTGACGCACCCCCACCCTTCTTCTCCATGCGGATGGTGCCTTCCCATCCCTAGAGACGTGACACTGGTCTCCCACCTTCTCCCCCCATCCCTCCCTCCACTACCTGAGTGTGAATGATGCTGGGAGAGGGTGTCACGAGATGGGGCCCTGTCACCTTGAGTGGCCAGAGAGGGTAGTCTCTTGAAAGTGGGTATCAAAGATGTGGAATTACGCAGAGAGGAGCCCAGTGGTGCGGAAACAGCTCTGGAGTCCGCCCACCCTGGGTTTTGATGCCAGGTCGGCCACGCTAATTCTACCACCTCAGCCTCCTTACCTATTAAAGGCCGTTTCCATACTACCTTCAAACAGCACGTGCAAGGCTGTTTTGAGAATTAAATGAGCTTCTTTGTGATTGCACGTGTGGTTCCTAGAACAGTGCCTGGCACATGGTGAGCACGGGATAAATGGGGCCTTGTGTTCTTACTGAAAGGAGCCTTGGTGGCGTGGTGGTTAAGCGCTCTGCTGTAACCAAAAGGTCGGCTGTCAGAACCCACCAGCTGCTCCATGGGAGAGAGATGTAGCAGTCTGCTCCCAGAAAAATTACAGCCTTGGTAACCCTATGGGACAGTTCTGCTCAGTCCTGAGGGGTCACTATGAGTCGGAATCAACTTGACAGCAACGGGTGTGGGTTTGGTTTGCTTTGGTTTTTACTGAGCACCCTCAATGATGTAGCACAGCAGACTGCTTTCTGTCATGGTGAGCACCCAGATAGTCACACAGCCAGGAGATGTCCCCAGGTACAGCTGGCTCCTGAGCCACTGACCCATCCTCCCGACTGAGTGCCCGACAAGCCTCCACGGGCTAAGGGCTGACACATCAGCTGGTCTTGAGTCACCCATGAGCTCACTTCCCTTCCTCCTCTTCTGCCTTCGTCAGCTCAGAGAGCTCCGCTTGGCCCTCCAGGCTGAGGTGCCAGCAGAGGCCACAGAGTTACCCAAGCAGGGCCCTCAGATCTCTGTTAGGCAGCTCCACCTATCCCCAAGGTGGTGGCAGGGGACCCAGTTCCCTGGCCTAGGGAGCACATCCTGGGCAGTGGCTGCTGGGTTGGGAAGCAATTCATCAGGACAGCCAATGGGCTGGGCCATCACGTGCGGTTCACTCCCCGTGCGGCCTCACTGTTCTCAATTCCGAGCCTTCTGCCTTTCTGGCCCCACCCCACCCCATGGTCCTGAGTATGGGTGGTTCTGGCTTTTCAGGAGCTGGTCTTAGTTTCTCTGCCTGTCGGTGGCCCAAGGTGCAGCCCTTGTGATGTTCCTGGGCACCTTGGAGGGACAAAGGGAAGAGGTCGGGTTCACACCAGCAGGTCTGCTCGGTGGGACATGACAAAGAGACACTTGACCTTGGCCAGGCATTCAGGACTGGCCTTTATGTAAAGCTGAGCAGCTTTGGACGAGGCATTTCCTTCTCTGGGTCTGTTTCCTATTTGTAAAGTTAGGGAGCTGCCCTGAGTGGTGTCTGGGGGTCTTCCCCTGATGACCTGTGTAGTGCCCCCTGCCCCATCCTGGCCAGGGACAGCGTGTGTGTGGGGATGACTTGTATGCCTTGGAGAAGCTGAGCAAGAGGGGCACAGGGGTGACCTTTGGGAGGCGGGTTCCCCGAGGGCCTGTCTGGGTCTCACTCCTGCCCCTCCATTCTCCCCGCTCTCTGCAGGACACTCCCAGTTGCCGGGATGACCTGCTAACTGACTACTTCAGGAAGGCCAAGATGCCCACCAGCTTTGTGGCCCCCACCATCAAGATGGCTGTCAGCACCTCTGAGGGGAGGCTGCTGAAGCCTGGGCAGTACGTAAGGCCGAACTTCAGAGCAGCCGAGGCTGAGGCCCCATCCAGTGTCTCTCCGAGGCAGGCCCAGCACCCCCAGAGCCTGTCTTTGGGCAGACCCCGGCAGGCCACAACGCCCCCAACTGCCCATACACCTGCCCACATACCCACCAGCCGGAGTGCATCTCTGAGCCGGGCCTTCAGCCTGGCCTCAGCCGACCTCCTTCAGGCCAGCGGGCCAGAGGCCTGCAAACAGGAATCCCCTCAGAAACCAGGGGGCCCAGAGGCCTCAGAGGGCAGAGAGGCAGGCAGCCACCCCCTACAAAGCCTCACACCCCCCAGCACCCATGGCCTGGCCCGGGAGCGCACCCCGCTTGTGGGAAAGGCTGGCAGCTCCTGTCAGGTCCCAGGCCCCCGCAGCCGGCCGCTGGACATGAGGCGCTTCTCACTGGCCCCTCCGAAGGAGGAGAGGCTGGCCCCACTGCAGCATTCAGCAACAGCCTCAGCCATTGCTACTGGGAGTGGCAGCAGCAGCACCCAGCTCCAGTACTTCTCACCTGCAGCAGCCCCGGCTGCCAGGACTAAGCCCAAAACGCCCCCAAACTCAGGGGAAGTGGCCACCATTGCCCCTGTCCAGGTGGGGCTGAGCCTCTCAGAGGGGGACGGGCTCCCAGCACAGGGGTACAGCGAGGGGCCCCCTGCCAAGAGCCCAGGGCGGTCTCCCGACTTGGTTCCCCACGCTGGCCGGGGCCCAGAGGACTTCAGCCGAGGGGGCAGCTCCAGGAGCATGCCGGCGTCCCCAGAGCCAGGCGGGGACCAGCAGACAGTGTGGTATGAATACGGCTGCGTGTGACTGAACTCGCCTCCTGGGCCAGCAGCTCCCAACCTTAGGACGACTGGTGCACACTGTCTGATCGTGCCAGCTCTTTTTTCTCTTTGCCTGTGGTGCCAGGAAAGGGTTTAGGATGGGGAAAGGGGCTCCCACACATTTCTCCTGTTTATCTTTTTAATGAAAACACTGTGCCAAGCCCTAAGAGGATTGCACTCCTAGATGTACAGAGTGGCTTCTGTAGCTTCGGCTTCAAAGAAGTGATCTCTTTTGAACAAATCCACATCCATGTGGCAACCCTAGAATGCAGTGATGACACTGACTTTACCCTACAGCAGACACTAGCCTAACACGCCCAAGAGAACACTCGTTTGCAACTTGTTGACCTCCAGTAAAGTATGCACGTCTGTGTGCATGTGCACACACAGGCCACAAGGCTGAGACCTGGTGGGTCTGGAAACTTCCTCTTCCCTTCCCCAAAGCCACTTGATCCCAGGCGAAACCCAGACAGCCCAACTACAGAGATCTCCAGGGCCTGGGGCAGACTCCATAGTTGGGCTTGCTGTTAAAAACAGCTGTGCAGCCCCACTCCTGGGACCCCAAGCACTTGCAGGCAGAGGGTGAGGTGGATTGGGATCCACCCCCAGTGGCTCCTATGCTCTACAAGACAGGCTTGGGGGCTACACAGGGACCTTTCTTCCCAGATTTCCCTGCTCACTTTTCTATAAACACTGGACTTGCTGGGGATGGGGTAGGGGGCAGGGAAGACCCCATCCCACTCGCTGGCAGTGTATATAGTGTACAGTGGGGAAGCGTGTCCAGGGGGTGCAGGTTGGATCTGGAACATGGATTGCATCACCCTCCTTCCCCCGTCTCAGGATATTGATTTATTATTTCTGAATAAGTTTTTTTTGGGTAGAAACCAAATTCCTTTTAATATATTACATATATATATACACACACACACACTCATGTGAAATATGTATACTTGGGGGGGATCTATTTATGTTCCATTGAGAGTCGTTCTTTTCTACCAGGAATCTTATCTGCTGCTTTGTGTATATGGTCAAATTCCTGGCAAATTTTGTTTAGTAAAGGTGCTTTTCCTGGGATGAACTAAAGCCCATTGACTTTTTCTTTTTTTGAAGATTTTTTTTTTTCTTTTGATTTAATATACTGAGAAAGACATGAGAGACTTGAATGTTAACAAGGTCAGTTTTAGGAGTGCTTTGGGTTGTGTCTTGAATAGCCATCTGCTTATGGAACACAAGGACAAGATTGTAATAAAATGAAATGAAATAGAAGCTGAGTCCTGGTCTTCCTCACTGCATGTTATTAGCAGTGTTATATAGGCTGCTGTGGACTTCTTGGGGATCCCTTCTTCAGCACCCCAAAGCATCTTCCTGGGCTGTCGGAATCCATGGCTTGCTTTGCCACTAGCTTAGATGAAGCTCTTAACCAACCAACCAGAGACATGTGAAGAACAAGGATTTCCTGTTTATTATACAACAGCTTTTTTCCAGAGTTGCATTCACTTTTAGTTGCTATAAATTGAATCCCATTTTGAGGAGGCAGAGCCAGCATTGCACTATAGACAGAAGTACCATGCCATCCCTCTGCAGCAAAGACCCAGAAAACTAAGTAAAACAGATACAAATGTCAGTCCTGAAACCCTAAGTGTCAAATGAAGGGATACAGAACTCAGTCAAGCACCAAATGGAATCAGCATCAGCCAGATACCAACCTAGGTAATGAACTCTCAAGGATAAAACAACACTAAAAGATTTACAACAGGGAACCAGAGACATCAACCTGTAAATGACAGTAACATCAGAACAATAAACCTTGTAGGTATAGATCTTTCAAATGGACAGGAAGTCAAGGCGACATCAAGTAATAAAAGACTGGTTTAAACTTAGTAAGATAAGGGTAAATTTCAAGGTAACCACAAAGTTAACAAACCTACTCATCAAAATAAAAAGTCTCAGTAAACACAAAAATCTACAAAAATCAAAGAAAAAAATCCACAAAAGGAATTCAGCATAGGAGAGTAAAAGGAACAAAGAAAATGTCAGTCCCACAGAAAAAACACTACAAAATAACAGCAATGAACTCATCATACCTATCGATAATCACACTGAACATTAAATGGCTTAAATACACCCATAAAAAGACACTGACAGAATGGATAAAAAAGCAGAACCCATCAATATGCCTTCTACAAGAGACACACCTTAGAAACAAAGACATAAAAATCAAAGGATGGAAAAAAAAAACCTAAAAGGAGAGGAATGGCAATACTAATCTCAGATAAAATAGACTTTAAAATGAAACCTGCCATAAAAGACAAGGGCATTATATAATGATTACCAGTCCACCATGAGGACATAACCATAATATCTATGCCCCCAACGATAGGGCTCCAAAACACATAAACTCTTAACAGCACTGAAAAGAGAAATTGACAGTTCCATAATAATAGAAGACTTCAGCACAGCACTTGGTAAAGGACAGAACATCTAGAAAGAAACTCAAAGATACAGACGATCTAAAGGCCACATCAACCAACATGACCTCACAGACATATGGAACACTCCACCCAACAGCAGCAAAGTATGCATTCTTTTCCAACATATATGGAACATTCTCCAGAATAGACCACATCTTAGGCCACAAAGCAACTCTCAACAAAATCCAAAACATTGAGATAATACAAAGCATCTTCTCTGATCACAATGCCATAAAAGCAAAAATTAATAACAGGAAGAGCAAGGGGAAAAAATCAAATACATGGAAACTGAATAACACCTTGCTTAAAAACCACTGGGTAGTAGAAATCAAAGATGGAATAAAAAAAATTCCTAGAATCAAATGAGAATGAAAACACATTATACCAAAACCTTTGAGACACAGCAAAGGCAGTGCTGAGAGGTCAATTTACAGCAGTAGATGTACATAGCAAAACAGAAGGGACAAAATCAAAACATTAGCTACACAACTTGAACAAACAGAACAGCAAAAGAAGCCTACAGCCACCAGAAGAAAGGAAATAATAAAGATCACAGCAGAAATAAATAGGGAATAGAAAAACAATAGAATCAAGAAAACCAAAAGTTAGGTTCTTTGAAAGGATCAACAAAACTGAGAAACCATTGGCCAAACTGACAAAAGAAAAATAGCAGAGGAAGCAAATAACCCAAATAAGAAACGAAATGGCCATTAGCACAGACCCAACTGAAATAAAAAGGATCATAACAGGGTACTATGAAAAACTATACTCCAACAAATTTGAAAACCTAAGAGAAAATGGACAGATTTCTAGAAACACACTACCTACCTAAACTAACACAAACTGAGGTAGAAAATCTGAACAGACTTGTAACAAAACGAGATTGAAAAGATTTAAAAACAAAAAAAAACTCCCCCCCAAAAAACTTCTGGCCCAGATGGCTTCACTGGAGAATTCTGCCGAACACTCAGGAGGAGAGCTCACACCATTACTACTCAAAATTATTTCAGAACATAGAAAAGGGATACTTGTAAATTCATTCTATGAAGCCAGCATAAGCCTGATACTAAAACCAGGCAAAGACACCACAAAAAAAGACAATTGCAAACCAGTATCTCTCATGAATATATATGCAAAAATTCTAGCCAATAGAATTCAGCACCATATAAAAATAATAATAATACACCCCAACCAAGTGGGATTCATACCAGATACGCAAGTATGGTTCAACATTAGAAAATCAATGTAATCCACCACAGAAAACAAAAGAATCACATGATCATCTCAACACAGAAAAGGCATTTGATGAAATCCAAAACCCATTCCTAATTAAAAACTCTCAAAGTAGGAATGGAAAGGAGATTCCTCAACATAATAAAGGGCATCTATAGGGTTGCTATGAGTCAGAATACAAAACCAACAGCCAACGTCATTCTTAACAGAGAGGCTGAAAACATTCCCCTCGGGAATAGGAACAAGACAAAGATGCTTTATCACCACTCCTATTTAACATTCTGCTGCAAGTCCTAGCTAGAGCAATAAGGCAAGAAAAAGAAAGGGCATCCAAATTGTAACGAAGAAGTAAAACTGTCCCTATTTACAGATAATATTATACTATACATAGAAAACCCAAAAGATTCCACAAGAAAACTACTGGAACCAATAGAAAGATACAGCAGAGTAGCAGGATACGAGATAAACATACAGAAATCAGTTGGATTTCTATACACCAATAAAGAGAACACAAAAAGGAAATCAGGAAAACAATACCATTTATAATAGCCCCTAAAAAAAAAAAAAATACTTAGGAATAAATCTAACCAGGGACGTAAAAGACCTATACAAAGAAAACTACAAAACACTACTGCAAGAAACCAAATGAGACCTGCATAAATGGAAAAACATACCATGCTCATGGATAGGTAGACTCAACAGTGTGAAAATGTCAGTTTCACCCAAAGCAGTCTACAAATACAATGCAATCCCATTCCAAATACCAACAGCATTCTTTAAAGAGATGGAAAAACTAATCATTAACTTTATATGGAAATGGAAGAGGCCCCAGATAAGTAAAGCACTATTGAAGAAGAAGAATTAAGTAGGAGAACTCGCCCTACCTGACCTCAGAACCTACTATACAGCTATGGTAGTCAGAACAGCCTGGTACTGGTACAATGACAGACACACTGACCAATGAAAGAGAATTGAGAACCCAGATGTAAATCCATTCACCTACAGTCACCTGATCGACAAGGGCCCAAAGTCCATCAAATGGGGAAAAGACAGTCTTTTTAACAAATGGGTGCTGGCAAAACTGGATGTCCATCTGCAAAAAATGAAACAGGACCCACACCTCACACCATACACAAAAACTAATTCAAAATGGATCAAAAACCTAACTACAAAACCAAAAACTATGGAGATCATAGAAGAAAAAATAGGGTCAACGCTAGAGGCCCTAATACACAGCATAAACAGGATACAAACCTTAACTAACAATACACAAACACCAGAAGATAAGCTAGATAACTGGAATGTTCTGAAAATTAAACACTTACGCTCATCAAAAGACTTCACCAAAAGAGTAAAAAGAGATCCTACAGACTAGGAAAAAAAATTTGGCTATAACAAAGGTCTAGTCTCCAAAATCTACAGGAAAATCCAACACCTCTACAACAAAAAGACAATCCAATTAAAAAATGGGCTAAGGATATGAACACATACTTCACCAAAGGAGACATTCAGGTGGCTAACAGACACATGAGGAAATGCTCTCGATCACCAGCCATTAGAGAAATGCAAATCAAAACCACAATGAGATACCATCTCACCCTGACATTACTGGCATAAATGAAAAAAATTAAAAAATGTTAGGCTGTGGGGAGACTGGAACTCTTCAACACTGCTGGTGGGAATGCAAAATGGTACAGCCATTTTGGAAAATGATATGGTGCTTCCTTAAAAAGCCAAAAATAGAAATACCATATGATCCAGCAATCCCACTCTTAGGAATATATCCTAGAGAAATAAGAGCCATCACACGAATAGACTTATGCACACTCATGTTCACTGCAGCATTATCCACAGTAGCAAAAAGATGGAAACAACCTAAGTGCCCATCAACAGATGAATGGATAAACTATGGCACATACATACAATGGAATACTATGCAACGATAAACATGGATGAATCTGGAGGGTATTATGCTGAGTGAAATAAGTCAATCACAAAATGACAAATACTGTATGAGACCACTATTATAAAAACTCACGAAAAGCTTTACACACACCATTTTTGGTGGTTACGAGGAGATTTGGGGAGGGACCTAAATAGACAACTCATCCTCCCTTGTTTCCCAGGCTCCCTAGCTCAGCCAACCCACCATCTGTCCTCCAGTCACAGGAGCCAGAAACCTGAGATGCAGACTTGACCCCTCCTCTCTCACCTCCTATATTTCATAGATCACACCCTGCACCTGAGAACTGTGTCTGGAATCTGGCCTCTCTCTGCCAGCTGTTCTCATCTTTGGTCACTCCCTCCAGCTCTAGGTGATGCCAGCTGGTCTCCCTGCCTTAGACTCTCTGTCATTTGCCTGACCCTTCCCAGTCTGTCCTCTCAGCCTCACCTCCATGTCCTCTTTGGTCTACTACAGTTGATTTTGGTCCCATGGTTCCAGCAGGAAAGGTCCTGCTAAGGTCACAGTGATCTGCATGTCACTAAGTCCAAAGGGGACTTCCGTGCCCTCATTGTCACCTGGGATATGTGTTCATCCCAGTTGTGCACATCTTTTTTGAAACGTTCTCTTCCGTTGGACTCCCTACTGGCCATACGTCATCCCTTTGCAGACTCCACCCTATGTGGCTCACCTCAAGGCATGCCCAAGCCCTTTGTCTCACTCTGTCTCATCCTAGACAAGCTCATACACATCCACAACTTTAATTACAGTCTGTTTGCAGATGGCTCCAAGTTTATATCCAGCCTCCAGCGAACCTGTCCTCAAGACACCTCAAACTCAGAATGCCCAACGCTCAACTCACCATCCTCCCCCACCCAAACTGGGCCTCTGCCTTCCCCATCTCACCACATCTGACCCGTTACACATCCAGAGGTTGTTTGACACCCCTCTTGCTTATCCTCGTGTCCTATCCATTACTCCCAATGGGTTTCCCCTCAAACCTCACATCCACAGCCAATCCAAGC